ATTGTCAGCTATGACAAAGTTCTGTGACATCTCTATTTCCAAGCCCAAGAAAAAGATTTTCTTTTTTTTCAACCAAGTTAAATTAAAATTTAAAAAATATATTTATTTTTGTAAGATAAAATAAATTAAAAAAAGCTAAATAAGATGAACTTACTTGTCCCATAGAGATAAGTGACACAGACAATTAATTGCAAGTTGTAGGTGTCCATGGGAGGGATTCTTCCTTTCATTTTGTTCTTCACACCTAAAATCCAAGGTTGTATTGGTTGTTGTTCTTCACCCCTATCTCGAAAAGTTTTTTTTATGTTTAATAGTGGGCTTTGGGGTTGGCCGGTGCAATGGGAGAGGTGGCGGTGGACCCAGTGATGCGGGTTCCTCCTTCATGAAGGGAATGAACAAAAGTTGATGAAGGGCGGAAGGGGTTCGCCGTTAAGGGGCCGCTGGACTGGTCAATATCATAGTTTCCAGTTGGAGGTGTACAGAGGAACCCGTTGATTCGGAGTTGAGAATTGCCGTTTTAAAATCGGAGCTGCTCCGCGCAAGGTGATTTCTGGCAAAAGTACGAGATTTTTTTTGCTTTTTCTGAAAACTACTCCGAAATCCGAATTTTGTTTGTAATTCTTTTTAAAATGCTACGTTCTTGTATAGTTAGTTGACTATAATGAATTGCAATTGAATATCAATGGAATATATAATGAATTAGAAGAGAGTAGAGATCTTACAAAATGGTGTGAAGAAATCTAATATCTGTTCAATACTAGGTGCCAAATATTTTAGGTGGACTGTCCATGATTGACAACTTACTCCTATAATATTTTATTGAATTAATATAAGAGCGAATTATTTTTGAAAAAAATTAATAAAATTTAAAAAATACTTACGTTCAGTGCTTTAGCCTGATCATTTATAAAAGTCTCTCCATCGTGATTCTTTGTATGTGTATGTAAAAAAAACCGATAACTTGTCACTTTAGTTTGGGAGTTCTTTTCCAGCATAATAATAAACAAGGTACAATGTTAGAGTAATAAAATAATAAATATCATATGAATCACAATATTGGACATGTGAATAAAGAAAATATATTCATATGACATATTCCATTAAAATGCATAATCAAGATATATATGTTTCAATAGAAATTTCTAAACAGAACTCAAAACATCAAGCACATGAACCTTAATTGGGCTGACATTGGTTATGGGGAGTTCTCTCTTTTATTATTTTGTCCTTCCAGAAAAAAAATATTAAAAGTAGAATCTGAAATATAAAATGGTGGAAAAACAAGGACACAGGAACCGCTCAAAGCAGCAACACACGAAAAGTCAAGTAATGTAAGCATATCAATTTTCAACATTATGATTGTCCGTTAACCTTCCACGAAAGAAAATGCACTCCGAATTCCAAGAAAATAACCAGAGTAACATATAGTTTCAATAAACTTACAATTTGAATGACAACTTTGGTATGAGATATGGCCCCACTAGTATGAGTAGAGAGGCGGTCTTCTCTAATTCACCTTGACGCCTATTTTTTTGCTTTGATTAGATTTCTTCTGAAATTCTTTACTACTCCTCATACCCATCCAACTGTCCCACACTTCTTGAGTGATTGATGGTCCAGATTCAATTTCTATTAATTGCAAACATTGTATTTGTACGTACAAATTCGATTGTCATATATACATAATTTTGTCGTACATTTATTATTTATACGTACGTAGTATATATAGCATATGAGTCATATGAGTAAGCTACTACTAGTAATAATGAGAGGCTTAATTTGGAAAGGAATAATGGCAATTACAAGCACAGCCGGCCAGGTCACATTTCAAATTTCAGCGCCACCAAAAGAACAGTACGTACGTGGGGCCAGGAAATAGCTAGACGGAGGAATGACGACGGAAGAATCCATTGAAGAAGACTTATCGTACGAGCCGTCGTCGGAGGTTGATTCCGTTTACGAGTTCGATGCGTCTCGTTACTTTGATTTCTGCCTGCCGGAGTCATCTTCCGACACTGAACGGGCCGAGCGATGGTTCCACGTCGCCGGCTATTATCCACCTTCGCGTAAGAATAATCTAATCTTTAATTTTTACTTCAGCTCACTGCAAAAATATAACGGTAATTCTAAAATGATTTTTTTTTAAAGGATGGAATTCTAAAATGATTTGAATGTTTATTGATCGGGTTTAGCATGATACTCCGTATGATTTGATTTATATTTTCTTATTTAGATTCTTTTTTATCATATCCCAACTGCTCTGACTTTTTATTTAATATTTTTAGGTTGAGAGGTTAAATTTATATTATACTCAACTTTAAGTTATTAGCAAAATAAACAAGTAAGAAAAGGTTCCTGATTGTGAATTACCGAGCTGTTCTAAATTTTTAGCCTAACCTAAAATCCTCTAAATATTTAGCCTAACATAAAATTCTTTAAAAAGCCTAACCTAAAATGCAATGGAACGGCTCTGGATGTTAAATTATCACCTTAAACTAGTAAAAGGTACAAGTAAAGAAATGTCAGAAAGCAACAAACAAAACATTAAAGAGAGATTTTTTTTACTGTTTATACAAATTACATAGCTAAAAAACTTAGCACAAGTTCTTCACACAGGATATTTGGATAACTTGCAAGATTTGATTTTATATAACAAATGAATCTTCACTTTTAATACAAACTGTTAGAAAAAACTCTTAAAAGAACATAAACACAGAGTATAGTTATTAACGTTGTCGTATACTCGTATTAAAGGCTAGGAGAAAAAATGACGCTAGTGCGGTAGGGCCACCTTGATTTCATAAGTTTTGATGAAATCCTAGAAAAAACTAGAAAAAACGTATCGATGAAATCGTATAAAAGAACATAAAATACTCGTATTAAAGGCTTATACGAGTATCTGGATGAAAGCCTAGAAAAAACTATCGTATCGATGTCTGAATACGTTTTGATTGACCACTTGATGAGTTGATGGGATGAAGTAATAAAAAAATATGTTGTAGAATTTCCCAATTGGTTCACTAAATTGTGTGTGAGCTTATTAATTCAAGTTCTTTTAAAATGAATTCATGCGTAGAGAACATGAATTTTAATTAAAAATTTGTATGAAAAAATATACTACCTCCCTTTTTATTTAACCATCTTTGAAATTTCAAGTCAAAGATGATAAATTGTGACTTATTATTTTGATCAATATATTTATGTCAAATTTTCTAGGCTTTTATCCGGATTCATGGGCCCTACTGCACTAGGCGTCTTTTTTTCTCCTAAACATATTTAGCTAGAAAATATAAATAAAGAAAAAATTATATGTAAAAATAACTAAAATGGTCATCTACAATAACTTCAGCCAATACAACTAAAAAAGTAAATCCAACCATACTTTTCTACTTATTACACAATTCAGCTCGTGAAAGTAAAAGTTACGTGTTTGGTGAAAACGTTATTTGATAAGCCTGAAAAGCCAAAAAACAGTGTTGTCAAATTGCCTCTACATCTTTTTTATTTGTGTCTGATTGTCACAAGAAATATATCAAATTTCATAATCTTTTATTCTTTCATATGACACCAATATTGTATATATAAAAATAAATACTTAATTAGCACTTTGTTAAAATTTACTACCTCCATCACATTCAAATGTTCTCATAGCAAAATGTCACATTAATTTATATACCAATTAAATATGCTAGCTTGAGTACATTATGAGAAATAATTTTGATTGGTATATAATATCATTTGTTTTTTATGATAATTGTGATGCTAAAAATATTATTTTTAATATTTGATGAATAATTTTTTATTTAATAGTGTTTATTGTTTCCTAAAATAGAAAATGAAAAGATCATGAAAAGTTATCCAATGTGATATATTTTTTGTGAAAATTAAATTATTCAAAAAAGTTATGATAATTTTAGGAAAAACATATTGTGATGTCAAATGAGAAGGAAGGGGAAAGGGTGATGTCACCCTCTTGAAGGGGTGAACAATTAAGAACAATATCATACTCATTTAGAACAATATGCTCTATAACAACGGGCCAGCCAACCGCCGCTGCGCCGATCACCTCAGTCACCATTACCGGCGCACCTCCCTCTTTTGGATCGCTGCCGGTAATCTCCTCCGTCTCTTCCGGTGTGACTTTCTTCTCCAACTTTGCATCACCAAGCCGGGTATCTATGTCATACTCTTTGTTTCAACATGTACCACCGGTGTTCCCTTGGTCGACTCCAATTCCCGTGCAGGATGTCCCTCTAGAGCCGCCGCCCCTCTCGGCCGGTCCTTCCTTTGCTGGCTCCACGTTCGTTGGCTCACCTGGTGTATCCTCCGTCGTTCCTCCCTCTCGCACACCCGCAGGCAACCTGGTCGGATCACTTCTCGTTGATTTGGCTCAAACAATATCTCATGTGGCCACCGATGTCACAAATATTGTGACTACTAAACTATTGGCGGTAGAAGACTACACCACTTGGAGGACACAATTCAAATCGTTTCTAGTTTCACAAGCTCTACTGGGCATGGTTGATGGCTCCATTCAGTTACCCCCTGCTTATACTATAGATGCTCTTAACCATCAAACTCCCAATCCCGATTTTTCTACGTGGTTGAGAATTGATCAAACCATCCGTTCATGGTTATTTGCAACCCTATCTAGGGATGTTCTTATTGATGTGCGTGATTTAAAACATTCATATGAAATTAGGGAACGGATAGAGTCTCCGTTTATGTCTGCCAGTTTAGCCAGATCTATGGAATTAAAGCGCTTATTTAATCAAATTAAAAAGAAACCTAATCAGTCCATGGATAATTATTTGCGAGAAATTAAAACATTAGCTGATGATCTTGCCACAATCAATTGCCCTGTGCCTCCTCGTGAAATTTTAAAGACTACTATTATGGGACTAAGACCTGAGTATGAATCTTTATTCACTGTTGTGTCATTATTTGGACAAAATTTCCCGTTTGAGACTCTCCGTAATTATCTTCTTGAGTTGGAGCAGCGGGTCCTTTATCTCCGCTCCCAGGAGTCCTCGTCCTTCCTACAGGCATTTGGCGCGGCTGTCTCTTCTCCCGAACAGTCGTCTGGCAAGCAGACGAATCAGCCACAATCGGGGTCTACGCACCCGGTCGGGCAGCATACATACCCGGTCGAGCAGTAGCGACAGTTTGGTGCTCCACAGCGCGGACGAGGTCGCGGTCGCGGCAGAGGGTCGCGGTCGCGGCAGAGGCCGCGGAGGCAGGGGCGCGGTCGTGGACACAACTGGGGCGAGCCATGGGTGTAGGACCTAGTAGCGGGACAACAGCAAGTAGGAACCGGATAGGAGCACCTCATGGGAGCACGGGGCATGGCGGGCCAAGTACAAGCAACGTGCCATCCGTGAACCAAGGCAAGACCCAAGCTAGGGTCTATGCGATGACGGAGGCGGACGCACGTGCTAACCCGGACTCCGTTGCGGGTAATTCCTTGAACTCACATTTTAAACTATGATATGCAATAGGAGGATTGAACTTGTAAATTTATAACCCCGGCGGGTTTTGTCGGGTTTGAAGGGGAAAGGGGGAGGAGAATCCTCGCCCTGGGCGAATGCCGCCCGACTTTGACGAAAGCCGCCCGGCTTTCGTCTTGACTTATTGGAAAAAATACTACGGCGCTCGATGCCGGCCGGCTTTCGTAGGAACAGGCCGGCTTTCGTAAATGATTAATCCGGGGAATTTCTCGCAGCTGAAAACCGACCGGCTTTCGTAGAAACCGGCCGACATTTGTAATTAAGCACCTGAATAAACTGCGGCGCCAAAAACCGTCCGGCTTCAGTGAAAGCCGCCCGGCATTCGTTGAGCCTGGGGATTCCTGCGCTGTTGAAACCCGGCCGGGTTTCGTAGAAACCGGCCTGCTTTGAAACCCATTTTATGAATAAAACGATGGCGACGAAAACCGGCCGGCTTTCGTGATTTATGTACGAGGAATTTTTCTCGCAGACGAAACCCCACCGGCTTTCGTGAAAAGCGGCCGGCTTTTCCCCTGTTAATGCACAAGGTCGGTTTTCGAGGGTGAGAACCGAGCGGGTTATGACGGGACGTTGAACGACTACCATCTGAACCGTAGTTGGTACATTCTTTAACCAAAGAAGCAAGTCTATACTTGGTAGTGTGTCTTACATCGCTTATGAATGTAGGAACACTAAAGATAAACGGGAGAGATGCAAGAATCCTTATTGATACCGGGGCGCAACGATCATTTGTGAGTGAGGCGTTTGCCGGGGGATTCAATGAACCGCTTGTACCGATGACTCAAACCCTACTGGTGTCCACACATCTAGGGGATGATATCGAAAGAAATAGCCACTATCCATCGTGTGAGGTGGAAGTGGAGGGCCAAACATTGACGTGTGATTTTGTACTGCTGAGTATGATCGAGTTCGATGCAATCCTAGGAATGGATTGGCTTGAGAAACATCATGCTAGGGTCGATTGCTACACAAAGGTTCTTGAACTTGAAAGCGGTGAAGGACTTAACTTACGCCTTGAGGGAGATAGAGACAAATCAAACAGTTATATCATATCCGTCGTGAGGGCGAGGAATATGATGAGAAAGGGATGTCATACATATCTAGCATACGTGGTGGACAAAACCAAAGAAGAGGTAGACATCAATGATGTGAGAATAGTGTGCAAGTATCCGGATGTCTTCCCAAAAGACTTGCTGGGACTTCCACCCGATAGGGAGATTGAGTTCGTGATCGAGGTTGAACCCAGCACCAAACCAATCTCTATACCGCCATACAGAATGGCACCCGCTGAACTTAATGAGTTGAAAACCCAATTGCAAGAGCTATTGGATAACGGTTTCATAAGGCCGAGTCACTATCCGTGGGGAGCACCGGTCCTTTTCGTGAAAAAGAAAGATGGAACACTTCGAATGTGCATTGACTACCGTCAGCTGAACAAGGTCACAATCAAGAATAGGTATCCCTTGCCTAGGATTGATGATTTGTTTGATCAGCTCCGAGGAGCGATGGTGTTTTCGAAGATTGACTTGAGGTCGGGGTACCACCAACTGAAGAGAAAGGAGGATGACATACCGAAGAGTGCATTCCGCACAAGGTATGGTCATTTCGAGTTCCTAGTTATGTCGTTCGGGCTAACCAACGCCCTGACGGCATTTATGGACTTGATGAACCGAGTATTTCATAAATACTTGACCGGTTTGTGATTGTGTGCATAGATGATATCTTGATTTACTCTAAGAGTGAAGAAGAGCATGAGGAGCACTTGATACTTGTCCTTGAGACACTACGGGAGAAGCAACTCTATGTCAAGTTTTCCAAATGTGAATTTTGGCTAAGGGAGATTTGCTTTCTCGGGCATGTGGTTTCGGGATCAGGGATTGTCGTGGATAACAAGAAAATTGAGGCCATTACTGAATGGGAAAGGCCAAAGAACGTCAAGGAAATTCATAGCTTCCTTGGATTGGCAGGGTATTACCGAAAGTTCGTGGAGAAGTTCTCAGTTTTGGCATCGCCATTGACAAAGCTCACTCGAAAAGGGGCCAAGTTTGTATGGGATGACCGGTGTGAGAAGGGATTCCTTGAACTGAAGAAGAGATTGACCGAGGCACCGGTACTTGCATTACCCCGACAGGGTATGGGGTACGATGTTTATAGTGACGCGAGCATCCAAGGGCTTGGATGTGTCTTGATGCAGAATGGGAGGGTGATTGCCTATGCTTCACGACAGTTGAAGAAGCATGAGGTAAATTATCCTACTCATGACTTAGAGCTAGGGGCAGTGGTATTTGCATTGAAGATTTGGAGACATTATCTCTACGGGGAAACATGTCATATATACACTGACCACAAAAGCCTGGAATACGTGTTTACTCAGAAAGAGTTAAACATGAGATAGAGACGGTGGATGGAGTTGATAAAAGACTACCATCTAGTTATCGAGTACCACTCCGGTAAAGCCAACGTGGTAGCGGATGCCCGATTGGAGGTATCTAGCGATGGTGCCTTGTTAGCTAGATTCGAGGTGAGACCTACATTACTTGATGAAATCAAGAAGGGTCAAGAAACTGATGAAGAGCTTATGAAGGTCCGTGAACGCATGCTAGCGGGACCGGTTGAGGATTTCAGGGAAAGAGACGATGGTCTCTTATTATTTCGTGACCGAATGTGTGTACCGTCAGATGATGGGCTCCGAAAGTCCATCTTAGAGGAGGCTCATTCATCCGGGAGGCACGAAAATGTATCGTGATTTGAAAGAAAGTTACTGGTGGTCGGGTATGAAGAGAGAAATAGCCGAGTACATCAGTAGGTGTCTTACTTGTCAGCAAGTTAAGGCAGAACATCAGCATCCAACTGGGTTATTACAGCCACTTTCCATTCCCGAATGGAAGTGGGAACACGTGACTATGGATTTCGTGGTGGGGCTGCCACGGACGATTAAGAACTATGACGCCGTATGGGTTGTGGTCGATAGGCTCACGAAGAGTGCACACTTTCTACCTATCAACACCACCTATGCACTGGAGAGGTTAGCCAAGTTGTATGTGGATGAGATCGTGAGACTACATGGGGTTCCGATAACCATTGTATTCAATAGAGATCCGCGATTCACATCACGATTTTGACCGAAGTTCCAAGAATCTATGGGAACAAAGTTGAAATTCAGTACAGCTTTTCATCCACAAACGGATGGGCTATCCGAGCGAGTTATTCCGATATTAGAGGATATGCTGAGAGCTTGTGCATTGGAGTTCCAAGGGAGTTGGGACAACAATTTGGCACTTGTGGAGTTTGCCTATAATAACAGTTATCACGCGAGTATAGGCATGCCTCCATACGAGGCATTATATGGGAGGAGGTGCCGTACACCTTTGTGTTGGGATGAGGTTGGCATGGCCAAACTCGAGAGCACAGAACTGATGGAGATCACCAAGTCAAAGGTGAAGATGATTGATGGCTCCATTCAGTTACCCCCTGCTTATTCCATAGATGCTCTTAACCATCAAACTCCCAATCTCGATTTTTCTACTTGGTTGAGAATTGATCAAAGCATCCGTTCATGGTTATTTGCAACCCTATCTAGGGATGTTCTTATTGATGTGCGTGATTTAAAACATTCATATGAAATTTGGGAGCGGTTAGAGTCTTGGTTTATGTCTGCCAGTTTAGCCAGATCTATGGAATTAAAGCGCTTATTTAATCAAATTAAAAAGAAACCTTATCAGTCCATGGATAATTATTTGCGAGAAATTAAAACATTAGCTGATGATTTTGCCACAATCAATTGCCCTGTGCCTCCTCGTGAAATTTTAAAGACTACTATTATGGGACTGGGACCTGAGTATGAATCTTTATTCACTGCTGTGTCATTATTTGGACAAAATTTCCCGTTTGAGACTCTCCGTAATCATCTTCTTGAGTTGGAGCAGCGGGCCCTTTATCTCCGCTCCCAGGAGTCCTCGTCCTTCCATCAGGCATTTGGCGCGGCTGTCTCTTCTCCCGGACAGTCGTCTGGCCAGCAGACGAATCAGCCACATTCGGGGTCTACGCACCCGGTCGAGCAGCATGCATACCCGGTCGAGCAGCAGCGACAGTTTGGTGCTCCACATCGCGGATGAGGTCGCGGTCGCGGCAGAGGTCGCGGTCGCGGCAGAGGCCGCGGAGGCAGGGGGCGCGGTCGTGGACAGCAGCAGCAGGCATATTGGTACTCCCAGGGGCAGTCACTTTATTACCCCGGAGGGGGTGGTCAGCCGAGTACACCTGCAGAGGGTGTGACATCTACGGGTACTGTTATTTGTAATTCTACTTTGTCACATTTAAATATTAATGCTTTACCTGTCTGTGTTACTAACCGTAGTTCCGCAGGCTTGCCATCAGATGAGGGTATTCTTGGGTCTGTTCCCCATCCTGTTATCTGTCAAATTTGCTTTTCTGCAGGTCATTCAGCCATTAATTATCCTTCTCGTTTCACACAACCGTCCGCCCCTGCTCTATTGACTACTCCCAGTGACACTACTCCTGCCCTATGGTTTCCTGATTCAGGAGCCTGTGCTCATATGACTGCATCTGAAGGTATTTTAGTTAATAAATCTCCCTACATCGGCTATAATTCCGTTAGTGTTGCTAATGGTGCCCATCTTCCCATTTGTCATGTTGGTGATGTCGCATTACCTACATCTGGTCGTCCTCTCACTTTAAAATCTATTTATCATGAGCCTCAGTTAAAATATAATTTAATTTCAATTAAAAGGCTTCGCGCTAATAATAATTGTACTGTAATTTTTTATAAAAAATCTTTTTTGATTAAGGACAAAGCAATGGGGGCACTGCATCTGCGAGCTACCAGTAGTGGACCACTTTATCCTATCAGTTCGCCGTCATCATCACCATTAGTTTTTGCTTCTGTTTTAGCTTCTGGTCCTGTGTGGCACCGTAGATTAGGTCACTGCGGTGATAGTGTTTTACAGTTTCTTAAGAGGAACAATTATTATGTAGTCATACTCCATTTACCCATGAGTGTGTGGCTTGTGGATTAGGAATATCACAACGTTTGCCTTTTATGGATGCTAGTCATAATTCTGTTTTCCCCTTGAAATTATTCATTCTGATGTGTGGCAGTGTGACACCGTCCCCAAGCATGTTTACTTTTAGTAAATTATGTAATGAACCTTGAATGATGAGTTATAAATTTACGTAATTGTTAAATTTTATTAATTCTTTTACGGGAATAGTAAATTGCATGTGGGGCCCACAGCGGGAACGGGGACCGCCCGATAATTCCCGAATCACATATTATATTAATCTTGGTCTAGAGGACATCTATATGGAGGTGGATATTTTAATTGGGCAATGGGAAGGGCATGGAGTTGACCGGTGGGTCAAACGAGGCTCAATTACCGGTATTGATAATTTAGCGGATAACAGCCCGAAATGAGTTTCGGAGACTCCTAAATTAATGTTGGTGAATGTACACCTATTCTAAACGCCCATAATTATAAGGAACGCGTGATATATTTTATTTGGTCCGATAAAATAAAATATGATTAAAACGGGCCGAGAAATACAACTTTCGGGGCCGATTGTACACACCGGGACATAATGGGATGACCTCCCACATAAGTGGGGGCCACCCCACGTTTTTATTGGTGCTGATTGACCAAATTAATGGGAATGAGACATCTAAATGTGGCATATGCGGACTTGTGAAGGAGAGGGTAGCTGGGGGACAAAGCCACACTAGTAGAAAAAGGCCTTACAGTGACACCAAATTAGTGTCACTGAAAGTTTCTGTGACACTAAAAAGTGTCGCTGAAAGTGGGGGCTAGTGACACTACAAGTGACACTTTTTTAGTGTCACTACAAGTGTCACAGAATTGTGACACTAAGACATCACAATATAGTGACACTTTGGCGACAGAGCTATTCGGCGACACTTTTACATCATATACTCTAGTGACACTAAAGTATCACTAAATAGTGATACCTTTGCAACATAACTATTCAGCGACACTTTTACATCACATATTCTAGTGACACTGCGGTATCAAAATATTCTATTTTCCATTCAAAAAACATGATACTTTAGTGACACTTTCGTATCACTTTGTTTTGCATTGCTTCCAGACCCCAATTCAATTATGATTTAGAAAATCCATTTCAATTACATTTTAAAACTTCCAATTCAGTATAATTACTAATCTCATAAACGATAATTAAGTTAACAAATCTCAAAACATAGAGAAATACTTAATAATATTAATTTCAAACTCCAAACTACATTGTTGTTGAAAATTGCATTCTAAGCATGCAAAAACCAGGAAAACTTTAGCCCTGTTGGACAAAATATGACAAAAAACCCAGCATGATCCAACACCAAATTGATCTAATCGATGGTTAATAAAATTCTAAGCAACTACATAGTTTTGTCCAAAAAGTGAGCTGCCTAAACGTCATACGACATATACATATAGTAGTGGAAGTTTGTTGGAAACGTCAATAACAATTCGTAACACATCGCCCAGCTTCACATCATCAATTCTTCATGGCAGCAGCTTTCATCAACACTGCAAAATGACAGATACACCATATATAACTAACACGAAAAATGTATCATTAAGCTTGTGCAACCAAACTTCAATTCGTAAGTATACCGAACTAACATCCATATGTACAGAACCAAACTTATGTTCTTCACTTTTGAACTATAAACTTACTTGTTATCAAACTAGCTGCATATGAAGCCCACTCCTCACGTATTCCCAAAATATCATTGTCAGTGTACTCCTTGATTTTAGAGAACTTCAATAAAAAATTATAGGTTAAATAGTCAACCGCAGTCCAACTTACTTGTACTATTTTTCTGAATAACTATTTGGAGGCTTGTATGTCCATGTTTGCCAAAGTGTGGCATAAACTCTTATTTTAAATGTTTCCGCTGCTTTAAATAAATGTTTTACATTATGTTTGATTATGGATGTACTACGTGTGAATGGTATTCAAGACGCCTTGTATAGTATGGATGAGTTGGACTGCGGTTGACTATTCGTACTGTACGGCGGGTTGTTGACGTGTCCGGCTAGGTCCGGGGCGTGACAGGCAGTCACCTGTGTATTCAAATTTGGGATTCAAGTATTATGTGTGTTTCATTGATGATTTTTCTCGTTATACTTGGATATACCCCATGTGTCACAAAAGTGAGGTTTTTGTGCACTTTAAAAATTTTAAAGCTTTGGTTGAAAATCTTTTTAATCAGAAAATTAAAATTTTTCAAAGTGACGGGGGAGGTGAATTTGTTAATCACAATATGCAGCAATTCTTTTCTGCTAGTGGAATTTATTTTCAAAAATCTTGCCCTGACACACCTCAACAAAATGGGGTTGCTGAGCGCAAGCATCGTCATTTACTTGAGTTAACTCGGACCATGCTTCTTGAGGCTTCGGTTCCGAGTCGCTATTGGGTCGATGCCATCTTCACTGCTGCATATATTATTAACAGATTACCCTCTCCTACCTTAAATGGCTTTTCTCCGTACCAAAAACTTTTTAACCGTGTTCCAGATAGATTACTCCTTTATGCGAGTATTTGGTTCTGCCTGCTATCCAAATTTTTCGGCCACCTCAGCTAATAAATTATCACCTCGTTCAGTTCAGTGTGTTTTTCTTGGCTATGCATCTGGTTATAAGGGCTATCAGTGTTTGGATCCTATCACAGGTCGAATCTATGTTAGTCGTCACGTTAGGTTTCATGAGGACACATATCATTTTAAAACCCTCTCATCTACTCCATCGCATTCTATTTCTACCACACCGTCTCCTATGAATCTCACCGATATAACTATTGACCCACCTGCCCAATCCACTACCACAATCACGGCCGCACTACCTTCAAACCCCCCATCCCCACCTCGGTCACCCCTCATTCCTACCACTCCGTATGTATCATCGCCCTATACATCCTCCCCCATGTCCACAACCAGCCCGCCACCATCACCTGCCTCCTCCCGTCACCATACTTCGTCCAGCATGCCGGAGTCAGCTTCGGCCGACTATGTCTCACCCGAAACCACCTCACCTATGTCCACTACGGTAGTTAACCAGCATCCCATGCAAACTCGCGTTAAGTCATGAATTTTTAAGCCTAAAACCATTTTTAATTTAAGTACGGTTATTACTTCTGCAGATCCTACATGTTTTACTGAGGCAAATAAACATTTAAAATGGCGTAAGGCGATGGCTGATGAATTTAATGCACTCATTAATAATAATGTGTGGGACTTGGTGCCCTTTTATAGCTCTAAGAATATTGTTGGGTGTAAGTGGATTTATAAAACTAAATATCATTCTGATGGATCCTCAGATCCCGAGTAGAAGTCACTGCATCTTGTCCAACAGTGCATGTTTAACCCTACCCAAGACCACTCACTTGTCTCCCAACAGACAGGTGCTTAATCATATTTCACGGGGAACCGCATCTCTCATTATTGTCTCCTTCCGAGGCAAGTAATACTGACTACAGTGACCTCAGCCCCATGCCATTGAACTTTCATTGATCACGTCGTGTCTAGTTACCTCACTCCCGAATGTTTTGAAATTTTCTAGGACACAGATGTACTTTTTGAATCAGTTGCAGGTCTACATGACCCGCGAGAACTTCCATAGGGCTCATCTATTACAGATGTAGACCAATGATTGGAAAAGGAAGGCCTGGTGTTGCAACATAAGAATCACCAACATTTCCAGGCCATCGCTTCAGAGTTTATCTCTATAGTGATGATAACGGGCGTCTTCACGACCCCGAGGGGCTACGTTATCTTCTTTACATTCTGCTTGTTTTTCCTGTTTTATTTCCGCAGAATAAAAGAATAAAGGCATGACGCCCCGAGTCATCGGATCGTCATGAGGGGAGAGTGGTCCACATGCTGTTAACTATCAAATAATCATTCTGGGACACTTCTCTCCTCCAACACTCTCTATACTATCTCCACAACTCAAATGGTCAGCTACGCTCACAAGTCAACCATCATTATGTTCCGCTGTGCCACAGACAAGTTCTCCTCAAATGCATTCATTCCAAATATTCAAAAAGACTACATTGTGGAGGAGACAGAGGTCAAATACTCGTGTCCTGAAGATGAATTCCATGGGCGCGTCTCCTATTCTCCAAAGAATATTCATTCTAGAGGCGTCACTGGACTTCATCCAAGCTGATCAAGAGCAACTTCTTGAAGGCAAGGACTACATGCAAGATACTGAAGATCCCTCAATCCCCGGCAACAAACATCAAATTGACAAGAAGACATCAAAGGGGAGATTGCAAGGATTTCTTCAGAAAACCTTCCTCAGAAGTCAAGTTCAAAGACAAAGAAAGCTGAATAACAACAAAGACAAAGATATCTGCGCTGCAATGTTGATTCAACACGATTGAACACCAAGGGGGAGATTGTTAGGAATATTTTATGGTGTCCAATCTAATTAAATATCTTTGTATTTGTGTAGTTATGAATTAAACATGTAATACAGGGCCACAAATGTGTATCAGCCTGTTAGCTTCTTTGTAACCCGTAAGTTAGCCAACTTCTCCTATAAAAGAAGGCTAACTTACGGGAACCCTAACAATTGAGGCTTTAGAGAATAGAGGCGCAGAGGTAGAGAGATTAGGGTTTGCCGCTGCTCTCCTTCTCCAAGAAGAGTAGCGGCCAGTTTACACGGTATACCAAAGGTGTTGTTTATCTTGATATCTTTCTATCTGCTTCTTTTTACCTGTTATGATTGTTTGATTGTTAAGTTTTGGGTTTATCAAGCCCTAGCTGCAACCTGAAAATGGTGTGGGGGGGGGGGGGGGGGGGGGGGCGAACGGGTCAGTACAAGTACCTGTTATGATTGTTTGATTGTTAAGTTTTGGGTTTATCAAGCCCTAGCTGCAACCTGAAAATGGTGGTGGGGGGGGGGGGGGGGGGGGGCGAAGGGGTCAGTACAAGTACCGAGCGAGTAGCAGACTAAATATAGAATAACTAGCGTTTCAAGTATAAGACCCAAACATAGGGTGATACTTATATAAATAGTTTTTTCCCCCAAACTAAGAAATACTTATTAGTATATATACCCTTGGAAAATACCCGATCTGTGGATCACTATTTTGTTTGAGAAAATAGTAATAGTCAATATTCTTGACTAAAAACCCCAACCCACCCATATACCTATGAGTGTATAAGACTCCTCGTCCATATTTCAATATCATAATCTATGAACTTTGAGGATAACATAACTCTTGGGTACTCCACCAATTTATATTCGAGTGTTAAGGACTTTTAGTCCTAGGGTCCTCCACCAATTTATAATTCGAGTGTTAAGGACTTTAAGTCCTAGGGTCCTCCACCAATTTATAATCCGAGTGTTAAGGACTTTAAGTCTTAGGGTCCTCCACCAATTTATAATCCAAGTGTTAAGGACTTTTTGTCCTAGGGTCCTCCACCAATTTATAATCCGAGTGTTAAGGACTTTAAGTCCTAGCATCATTCACCAATTTATAATCCGAGTGTTAAAGACTTTAAGTCCTAGGGTCCTCCAGCAATTTATAATATGAGTGTTACGGACTTTTAGTCCTAGGGTCCTCCACCAATTTTTAATATGAGTGTTAAGGACTTTATGTTCTAGGGTCCTCCACCAATTTATAATATGAGTGTTAAGGACTTTTGGTCCTAGGGTCCTCCACCAATTTTTAATATGAGTGTTAAAGACTTTTTGTCCTAGGATCCTCCACCAATTTATAATATGAGTGTTAAGGACTTTTAGTCCTAGGGTCCTCCACCAATTTATAATATGAGTGTTAAGAACGTTTTGTCCTAGGGTCCTCCACCGATTTATAATATGAGTGTTAAGGACTTTTTGTCCTAGGATCATCCATCAATTTATAATATGAGTGTTAAGGAATTTTAGTTCTAGAGTCCTCCACCAATTAATAATTCACCGGAATGAAATTAGCGGTGATAGAACCAAACTTGTTTGAAATGACGAAAATTGCTACAGATATACTCATATCGATTGAACCTTCATTATATTACATTCCATTTTTCAGACCTCCAATCAGTCATCGGTCATCCTAAGCATATTATGCGAACTAGTCTTCCTCTCTGGTTACATGTCGCTCATGTGCACAGATCGAAGAGTGCAGATGGGAAGAGCCCAATTGATGGATTCTAGTTTTCAACGCATCCCTTCATTCTTGATATCATATCTAGTTTGTTGTCTGCTTCAAGGAGGCTGAATCACAACATATCTCATTGGAGTACACTGGAAGAAGAGAAAATACAAAGGAAATCCCCCTAACATACAAGAGGGGTGACTTGGTCTTATTAAAAATGCCACCCATAGCTTTTACCGGTTATACCCGGTCTCTTTCAAGTGGTGTGCTCTAATTGATCAGTTTTTACAAGTAGATAGATTTATATGACAATTAAGCGAGTACATGAGCTTTTGAATACTAGAAGGGCTTATTTGACCCTTTTTCTCCTACAATTGAGACATGGAGTGATGCAATGATCACGAAAATTGAAGTTGTGTATTTCGTATTGAATTACAGAGTAATGATGTAAGAATGATAAACGAGTGCTTCTTTCTCTTGCCTCTTCAAATTATATTTAGCAAGAGAATCATAATATGGGTTCCTCAATTCCTATTCCTGTTCCATCCTTTCAAGTCAGAGATTGAAAATATCAAGAATTAAACCCACAAAAGTGAAAAATGTACACAAGACAATGCCACGTATCAATTGAACTCAAAATCTACAACAGAAGTACGAATCACAAATAGTGAACGAAGTAAACCCGTGAGGCTGCAGTCTACTTCCTCAAGCGAATTCCGGGAATGTCTTTTAATCCCATCTTTAGTGCAGTTTTCCTGAACAGCGAGGGGGGCCTCTCCAAACCAATTGACTGACAAAATTGGTTAGCCAATGAAACCAGGGTAGTTTTGTCCCGTCCTATCTCCCTGATTGAACTATAGTATCCTAGCCAAGCATGATACGCTGCCTCTTTGACACTGCTATCTACACTTGCCATTGATTCTTTCATCTACAGTTACCGATCATCAAACAAAAAAATGATCACTCTATAAATAAGAGATATATGCATTAACACACTATTAATGACAACACATTTTTTTACAAGTTCAATTTCAGCTTTTTCCTTTTCAAATCATTTCTTTTAAGGTTTGCAGTTTGCACATTGCTAATCATTTAATTGACTGTTCAATGATTTAGGATCAACTACTCATACAAGGGACAAAGGCATACATCCATTATCCATGGAAATTAGAATGTACAGTAACTTAATGGTATCAAAAGTTCGTCTGTGGACAGAGACGAAAAGGCTCAACCTTTGGGTTTGAATATGGTCTTATAGGACTTTGGCGTATAGGACATATTTACAATAGTGTAGCTTCCTACTCATTGGAAGTACAATAATATGACCAAATGAAGATGATGCACATACAGCATCCAAGTGTACTTTGAGCTGAACATAAAATAAGAAAACACATGACTAAAAAGTTAGGTTCTGATTGGAACTCGCTAACTGGTAAAGGATGAGGAAAGTTTTGTTCAAGGAAATGATATTTTTCTGTTTGGTTTTAATATTGGAAAGTTAAACTTGACTACTTCTATGTGAAATTTTGCATATACTTCTATTTCTCAGTCTTCGTAACAGAAAACAGAAAATATATAAAATGAATTGAAAATATATTTAAAGTTGAGTTAGAAATGGCATGGCAGCCTTTGAAAATACGAAGTATATGTTTGGTTTTAAATTTCGCATTTTTTCTTTTGTTTTCTCCCTAGGTGGAGTCTAGTGCTTTTTTAAATCTGATGAAAACAAGAGCATGTTTTAGACATGAACTATGAAGACCTGAGTACAAACCTTTGCTGTAATATTCAAATTTAAAGGTGGCAAGTCACATTTCTGCATTGGGAGGTCTTTCAGTTCATCCAAGAAATATTCTTCCCAAGGTGCAATCAATAGGATGCCTTCTCCTCCTTTGCCTTCCCGACCTGTTCTTCCAAGCCGATGTATATATTGCTCCCTATCCACAGGAATTCCCACCTGATGATGTACCAGAATGTGAGTCGCACCCTCATCCAAAAAAGAGGCAAACTAAGTAAAGACAATTTTGAATTTCGTTGTGAATATATAATTGGGTTGGTTAAATCAACTTCCTTGAGGTTTGTTAAAGCTACAAAATACCAGTCAGGTTTAAAAATACTAAAAATGCATCCATCAACCAGTGATGTCAATTGTGAGCTATAGCTAGAGCGGAGCAGCACCTATCCGCTATAGGATTTACTAGGGTGAGCAGTAACGAGGGAATAGCGGCCACACCTCTGATTTCATTGGGTAGGGAGGAGGTTAATGTCAGCTTAACAAAACCCTAATAAACCTTCTATCCCCTATGAAACTATTCTCTTATAATTCCAAGTCTATGTTCTTGTCTAGCAATATGCATTCCAAGTTTTCAATGACCTGCCCTGTCACTTAGCGATCTCAGGTGGCCCAACTCCCTCACTTTACGACCTCCGGCAACTCGCCTGCCCTATGACCTCCCTGTCCTATCTCAATGAGCCCATGGCCTCCAAAAACCTCAGCCATAATATGTTTATCATAATTTAGTAATACAATGATAGAATATAGTGATATTAGTAGGGTCTCAACAAGTCAAAGTATTCCATGTGTGACACTGAAAGATGACAGAATATAATGACATATTGACATTAGTAGAAATTGTATGTTTTCATACAAAATAACTTTTAACATGTTCCTGAAATATTTCTTTTCTCAAAGAGCAAGAATAACAATTAAATCAATAGGATGCAATAGTAATACAAAGTTCAGTCCAAACTCCAAAAATACATAATTCTTGTTAATATCCCTAAATAATACTCGTACTCCGTACATATTTATTTGTGTTAAAAATGCCATTCATAAAAAAATTGAGTGTTAAAAGGATTCATTTGTTACTTATAAGTTTGAGGAACCATTTTAGAATTTCACAAAAAGCTCAAAGGATAACTTGTGATCAACAACCCATTACCACCCAGACACATGAGAAGACTTGAAATAAAATAGCATCCAATGTGACATTTGGATTGAAGGTGCACATACCTGAATAACCAATGTGACATCTGGATAATTCATTCCACGGGCTGAGACATCAGATGATATGAGAATTACACGTTTCATTTCCTTAAATTCATCCGAGATTCGAGTCCGATAAATTTGAGGTTTTCTGGAATGTATCTCTCTGACATTCATTTTCATTTCCCGGTACAGAGAAAACATGAGTGAAGTCATCATCGCTGTTGTACAAAAAACGATAATCTGAAAGAAAAGAAAAGAAATATTATGATGAATAATATCTGAAACTAGGAAAACTAGGGAAATACATCTTTGATGCATTTCTGTAGGGATTAGGCATCTCTTCTTTCAAAGCAATTGAAAGGCTATGAAAGCGGGCTAACAAGAGTACAAAATACTTGATATTCTGGGGATGATTAGCCATATTGCTTATGCACCAAAGAATGCCTCCATGGTTGAGCTTTGGTGTGTCCATACTTTGACCAGGACAACATGAATTGAATCAAAATTATTGGAATTCAGTTTCCATGTGCATCCCATTGTTTCATGATCAACAGAACTAAAATCTAGTCAAAATTAAACTTATACCTTGTAATCAGGTTCTTCCAAGATATGACTGCTCAAAAGCTGATGCACCATTTGGAAATGTTGTTCATGAGGTGCCACAAGATAAAATTGGTTGACCTGTTCAGCAATCCAAAATTAATGGCAGAGATCACTCAAGTATGGATTTGTAATTTAATACAGAGAATGAGATTACTAATCTTGTACAATTGTACTCAAAAGTTTCTCCTAGAAATGAAACAAATAGGTCCACTCAATTCTTTGTTTTCCAATTCTCCAAGTAGGAAATTTGAAAACATATCCACAAATTACTAGTTTTTCAAAGTTCTTTTTCCGTTTCTGTAATGGGAACATGTATATTAAGTATATTAACATAAATGAAAAATTACTCGCAACCATTTTACAATTTAAAAACAATTTTTTGGAATAAGGTTGTACAAACTACAGAAGTGGAGATTTACTCTATTTAGTAAACACACCCTATTTCATATGCATCACACAGATTAATTTTTATCTATGAGTTATGGAATCTCTCGGGAAAAAGTATGTTTCCATTTCGGAAACTCTATGGAAATAAAAGATGCAATTCCCGTTGCCCCGGGATTTTTACGTTTCCGTGCAACATAGATTTTCATTGAATAAAGAAGGAAAAAATAAAGAAAGAGAGAGAAGCAGCCTTGCGAAGTGGAAATTCAAGACTTGTCATTATATACCTTTGTGTTGGTCTCCAAACCAAGCCCCACTGTATCAATATATGCATGTTCTCTTTTCAAAACAAGTTGAGATATTCGGCGAACCTGCATGTCCATAATATAGATTTCATATCCTGATTCAAACAAGGTTCTAAGTACCTGTTTGGATGGAGAGGTTAGGACGGAGAGTGTGTGGGGAGTTTAAACTGTATCTTGATAAATACCAGTATGATATTTCTAAAAACAAATAAAAAGTGATTGAGATGGTATACAATCACATATTGTGCTAAATGCTAATGAATCCAATTTAATAAAATCTCAAATTTACAAATCAAGTTAAAATATAAACTAAAAGGCCAAATCCTTCTCCACCAAAACCTTCCATCCGAAAGAACCTCAAAGCACTAGAAATTGCCATAGGACGTATAACCTCCTTAGGAACGGTAGCAGAAAAGAGTAAAGACTGTCTTTGTCGAGGCAAACAATCAACAATCTTTTCTATATCTTTTCGGAAACCTAGGTCAAGTAAGTGGTCTGCTTCATCTAGTATGAGCATCCTCAATCTCATCAAGCGTGTAGAGAATCCAGACTTATTCTCAATGTGGTCCAGCAATCTACCTGGAGTGGCTACTATAATCTACAAAATTAACAAATTGTTAAATATCAACTTAATAGGACTGATAACTATAAATGATTTTATAATTGAAACAATATTTTCTGCACAATAAGGAATATACCTTTCTGCATATAAAACCGATAAGGATATAATAGCAAAATTAAAAACAGTTAACCTTCTTTTACATTTCCTTGTTATAGTAGGGGAGAAAACAAAAACGTGGTGGACCATTCCTATTTTTAATCTTCTTTTAATCTCTTTTAACCAAAACAAGAGTAAGACTTTTTTTCTTCCCTCTTTCTCTCCTTGCTACTTCTATTCTCTGTAGCATGTAGCCCTGTACTGTCTATTTCTCTTGAAATAGGAACAATATTTGAGATATCAGGACACAACCCCGTGCTAAAAGATACTAGGTGAAATCTAGAGAAGTCAATAACCAATATAAGTCAAGATGGGGCGAATGTACCTGGGATGGATATGTTTCCAAACGTTTTTGATCAACCTTGAAGCGTGTTCCCCCGACCAGCGTTTGCACACCAATGTTTTCATGGTACTTCAGTAATACATTTGTTTCTGCAGCTATCTGACTTGCAAGTTCTCGTGTTGGGCATAAAATTAACACACATACAGGTGGGACCCTCTCAACTGTCCTGCTTTGTTCAGGTTTCAAAACTGTTTCAATAGCAGGGATCTGTTTGTGCTTAACAGCAGCAGTGAACAAAACTTCACAATAGAAAACTATAATCTAAATGTAATGAAAAACAAAGTATACCACAAAAGCTGCACTTTTCCCAGTTCCAGTCCTTGCCTTGACTAATGCATCTCTTCCTGTTAAATGGGCAATAAAATAAAAAATTAAAGGAATTAGGGGTCCGTTTGGTAAGGCTCATTTGGCTGAGACACGTCTGAATCCTTTAAAAAAAATAAAGAAGCGCTTGGTAATATTTGCATCAGAAAATGCTGCTAAACAGAGCCTAGGCTACTCAAACTGAACCAGAAATCAATCTTTTACTTTTGAAAGTAGAAATAAACTCCAGATTAGATTAATGCTTTTAATCTGAACAAATGTATCATGCCATCTCTTCAAATGAGTACCCACAATGCCCTTAATTGCCGATCAACATAAGTACAATGAATTCAAATGACATAGCTCCAAGTTCTCGAGATTAAACACGCTAAAAAAAGCATGCTACAGATAAAATTGATTTAAAATTTTGGGCTCGTATGGTAAGGTTTATTGTATAAACTGGCACATTCTGCCGCAGTTTTTAAACGAAAAGTGTTTGGTAACATCCATTTCAGCCAAATAAAGGAAAACCTACGCACGCCACGTAATCTGCAGAACATGCCAGAACTAATTACCTGAATGGGTAGTAGCCTAAGTAAAAAGACATACCATTAAGACAAGCAGATAGAGTAGCCTCTTGAACCCTAGTCATTTGCACATAACCTGCTTCCACAAGTGCCTTCACAGTGGATGGAGATATCTCACATTCATCAAACCTAATGAAGTCAGGCTCACGTATTCAGATTATTCACACAATTATTGTGAGTTTCAACTTTAATCTCAAGACAACTATTAAACCTTTGAAACTGTTTTTAATGTCACAGACATACCATATACCTTTTCAAACTAAGAACAGAATCAAATTCTTCCTCTTTTTCTTCCCCACCACATTTTTCCAATCTCCTCTGATTGACCTCCTTGCGAATTTCCTCAACTTTATGTGACAAATCTTCCTCGTCTTCTACAAACTGTATTGGCACCCTCTTTTTAACCTTCATGTCATGCTTCCCCAAAGAAGCACTGCTCATTCTCTTAACACTAGAAACGTGCTGTTCTTCTTTGCCCACTACATCATCATCATCATCATCATCGTCTTCAGATGAGTCGGTCATGTTTGACCTAAACCTTGGCCACTTGGCTTTTCGTCCTCTTGATGAAATTGTATCCTTCTGTGAACCATCTTCAATCTTCAGGCTCTTGTGTTTTTGAAAACCAAACCTCTTTACACTATGTGTAGTACTTGTATCAAGGGAATAGCTTCTGGTTGTTAATAAACTATGCAGCATAGCATGATTCACATATTTACAATCACCCAATCTCTGTGAAAATGGGGGGATATACATTTCTCTTGACCAAGCAAACAAATTTTGGGAAACTCCATTTTCACCTGAACCTAGAAAATGAAGTGGCCTCACAGAACATATAGCATCACTGGAGAAACGTCTAGAGCTTGACCAAGAACTGAAATTCCTGGAACTATTCCCAGAATTTGTAACTTTCGACACTGTTCTCCGCAAATTACTAGGCTCAGTAATCACTCGGCAGTGTGGATCCTGTGCGGGAGCCTCAATAGGGCCATCATCTTCGTTCCACAAATCTTCAGCGCCCTCCTTCATGAACCTGTCGGCTAGAGCCTTGATTTGTTCTTGAGGGGACATAGGGCTGTGACTTGGCTGGTTAGCTACGGCACTGGCCTGTTCTCCTGAAGGGGAGAGCTTTGATCTTATCTGAGCTCGAATTCGGGATTGGTAAAGTTGTTTCTCATGATCAAGGAGTCTTCTCTCCTTCTCTCGGGCTTTTTTCTCATGGAGGCGTTTCCATTGCCACTTATTGAGCCCACCAGGAAACGTCCGAGGGCCACCTCCCATTGAACGTATAAAGGCGAGGCCGTTGAGTAGAGAAGGGAAGGCTCTATGACCTCTTAGCTGAATAGCTTTGGAGAAATGCATTGCGTCGTTCTCCTAATTCTGCGGCCAAAGCTGCTCCTGCACGAGAAATCTCACTATTAGAGGGTTTAGGGTTTAAGGTAACAAAGGCAAAATACCCGAACATAACGTATGCGGTTCCGAACTATGGTCATTACAGGAAACACAAGCAAGGCACGTTGCTGGCAACCTGGACTTGGCGTCTTCGCACTTCGCACTTCCAAGTTCCAAGGGATGATGGACCAGCAATACTTCGTGTATATATTTTTTTACACTGACAAAAAATAGGCAACTTTTTTTTGTTTGTACTAAAAATAGTTTTCTTCCCAAAACGCAAGTCAAATTGTTTGTAAAATGACAATATGACCGACGTGTAAAATCAAACGTGCAGGCTTAAGCTTCGGTATTATTTTGGGTGGGTTGGACATTAATTTTAATTAAATCTATACCTATAATTCAAAAGAAAAAAATGTTGACTGAGAGCTCACTCTAGCCCCTACAATCATTCGACCTACCAGTGTGAGTAAGCACTCCAAATTTGTACATGTATTATATATACCCAAACTTTATATAAAAATGTTAAGCCTATTTGGTAACTCTATTTTTCGACTTCTTAGTCAGATTTTTTACTAAACAAGTAATTTTGATTTTGTATGCTGAACTATGTAATAATAGAAAAAAATAATGTTGGATTCACTTTTCTGCATCTATTGGCTGAAGTTATTGTAGAGAACCATTTTGGCTATTTTTACATATAACTTTTGTCTTTATTTTATTAACAAAATATATTCTATTTTTTTCCCATAAATTAGCAGAATCAGCCATTTCAGCTAGAATTTCATAAATTTAGGCAGGATCAGCTGATCCAACCGATTTTGGTATTACCTAATGGGTTCATTATGTTAGCACTATGATCATAAGATTTTTCTTTCATAAATGTAATAAGTTACGTGTTTGATGAAAAAGTTGGTAGATAAGTCTGATAAGCCGAAAAACAAGGTTATCAAACGTGCTCTAAATAAACTAAGACTATATGGAGCAATGATGTAAAAGTTCTTTTCTACTTCAGAAGTCTCAAAGTAAAGATAACGTATGGAATTAATAACAATTTATCACAAAATGATAACTATTTAAAACCCTTGAACTTCATCAAAATAGGGATTTATGGAAGAAAGGGGCCGTGTATACGACAACATCCAAGTCTTAGTCCCAAAAACCAAAAGATATTGGGCGTGTTTGGCAATTTGTTGTTGGCCGTTGACCGATTGTGTTAGCTGATTGATGATAGCAAATTTTATTGGTTGTTTTGATTAGCTGATAAGATTAGCCATCTCCAAAATGGTGTTTGATTAAATGGTTGTTTATTATCAGCCGATAACTTGTTAAATGACCTTTAAGGACATCAATTAATAAATTATTAATATAACCAGTACAATTACTTAAACCGTTTTTTATGATCTAAAAATAATAAAAACGTATTAACACAAGTAATAATTATTTTAAACATTGATTTTCATAAATTAATATATTATAAAACAGAGCAAACATACAAAAATTCAAGCAGAAAAGATAAACACCAAATTGAGGTGAAGAAGAGGTATACAGACAAAACCGTCGGCGGAAGCAGTTAGCAGTAGACCAAGAGGCGCGGCGCCTGGAGTTTTCTTTTCACTTTGACGGAAGCAGTAAACCTGGGTAAACCTTCGACAGCAGCAGTAGACCAGGAGGTTGAAGGTGTGTTTCTCTTCAGTGGGAGACCGGAAGCAGTAAACCTGAGGCGGAGGCGGAAATTGTTTATTGGGCGGAAGGTTTTTAGGAATATGCTTAAACGGCCTATTGTATTTAGGAGATTTCTAGGTTACTCTTCAAATTTGGAGTGTACCATACATTTGTCTTCTTCGACCAATAGCATTTATTTCATTGATGGATTTTTAAATTTCCATGTGCAACTATTTCATTTGACCACACAATGAGATGCACCATATCTTCCAAATTTCCAAAGGCACCATAGCATGACCCTTGTATTTATTGATTAGTAAGAAGAATCTGTCAATACGGTTGATTTAAAACGGAATAAACGACCGATTGTAAACGCTACCTTTTGTGTCTTTTTCATAATTTGGCTGTTTAGGATAAAAGGCTAAATGTAAAAGCCATTTAACCAAACATGTTTATTGGCTGATTGACTGAATCGATACGTGATATCACCATCAAAAGGAAAAGAAAGAAAATAAAAATAAAAAAGATAAATTATTATAAAAAGATAATATAAAAAGATATGAAGATACATAAAAAAGATAAAATAAAAAGGGTACAAATAATGTTTATATACATAAGGATAAAAAACAAGGGGGGGGGGGGGGGGGGGGGGGGGGAATGATGAGGGAAAAAGATGATATGAGATTACTCCTCCACACGAATATCCGCCTTCCACTTTGCTCTCTCCAAAGTCATACCCTCATCCAACCCAAGAAGAAGCATATCATTTCGGACTCCCCTAACTCACGTCTGTTTGGGCCTTCCTCTCTCTCTCTCTTCCATGTCTCTTCTCAACACATCTCAACTCGTGTGACAGGTGCATCACTCGGTCTTCTACGCACATGACCAAACCACTGTATGTGCGACCCCCGCATCTTGTCTTCAATATGTGCTACTCCCACCCTTTGTCTGATTGTCTCATTCCTCATGTGGTCCTTCCTAGTATGCCCACACATCCAACGCAGCATGCGCATCTCTGCCACACTCATCTTTTGAATGTGACATTGTTTCACCGCCCAACACTCTACGACATACAGTGATGCATGCCTAATTGTTGTCCTATAAAATTTACCCTTCAGTCTAGTCGACATACCTCGATCGCATAGAAATTCTGACGCATTCTTCCACTTCATCCACCATGTTCTGATTCTATGGGATACATCTTTATCTAACTCACTGTCCTTCTGAATTATGGAGCCTAAGTAACGGATCATATCGCTTATCGGTATCTCCTTACCATCTAGAGTAATTCCGCTATTACCACTGCTTCTACCTCCACCAAACTTGCACCTGCACTGGGGATGCAACACGAGGACTTCCCGGGGGCGTGTATATATAGTATATAATAATAAAAGTTCTTATTTAATGAAAGATGCTCCCTATGTCTTTTAGAAAGCTTCTCACGCGATTTATGATATGACTGATCATGTCCGTAATTTGATTTTTTATAAATAAATTTACATATTCAAAAATTACATTAAAAATTTTATTAAGTCACAAAAGAAAAACTCAAATTTGATAAAAACATTCTTACATAATTGCACTACTTTGGAGGAGCCTCATTTTCCCGCTCAGCAGTGAAGCCATTTCATCCGAACGATTCGGTTTCAATCTAGGGTAGGGCTGAGGTTATTTCGTTTCCCCTAACCTCACTGAGTTTTCCTTTCACCAAGACAAGATGTAGGCCTTCATCTATATCCCTCTTAGGGTGTGTTTGGGAGTTGGGTTTTGGAGGGGAGGAAGAGGTTGATGGGGGTTTATAACCCTCCTTTTCATGTTTGGGAGTTTATAAAACTGGAGGGGATGGTTTTGGAGGGCTTTCATGACCCTCCAAAACCCTCTAAATGCCTAATTTTTAAGTTCTCCCAATTTGGAGGGCTTTGAAGGATTATTAATGAAATGGTAATTTAAGCTCAATTAAAAATAAATATCAGTTCAATTATTTAAATTCGTCATATCTCAAAGTAATTTTAATTATAATTCATTCAAAAACTCTCTTCTTCCAAATTTATTACTCCCAAATACAAAGAAGGGCTTCTTTCCCCTCCCCTCCCTTTCCCCTCCAACAACATACCTCCAAAGTCTTCCCCTCCCCTTCCCTCCGAACTCCCAAACATACCCTTAGTCTCATCTCCGCTTCAATCTCACTAAGTCATTGTCTAAAGCCTTCATCTCTCTCCCCAACCAAATCGATCAGCCGTAGCCGTAGTCTGATCGTCGACTACAATATCTCACTCAGTACGGATAGCCTCACACTATTGATGAAGACCTTCATCGCCGCCTTCAAAATCTCATCGTCGACTTCAATATCTCATCGCCCACTTTAGTGTCGAAGGCCTTCATCCATATACAATCAATCAATCAACCGTAGATGTCGAAATTGCAGAGGAATAGGCGTGTTCAATATACGCTATATAAAACATAATACATAGCTCTTAAAATTTAAAAGTAAAGGTGAATAATGTAAATTGGAAAACACAAAGTAGTTTTTTTATTGAAAATAACAACTTTATTAATCTAAACAGTCATTCGCCAATTGGTTGATAATACAATCCGGACAAGTATTGAAATAACTACTACCCGCATGCCACAGGGCTGCCCTAGCTAGAATATGAGTCGCCTGATCCGCGGATCATTTACACGCTTGAACAATGAAATTAACTTGAATATGAAGAAATTCTCTCATATCATCGACCCGACATCATAATATGACACACCTTTCTCCTCTCGCAATCTATAAGTAATGATCTGGACATCGGTTTCTATTACCACTTGATCCCAACTCTGTTTCTTTGCCCAAATCATTGCCTCCCACACCCCCAACAGCTTCTGTGACCCTAACCGCATAACCACACGGCTCTACAAACATCGCATCCTCCTCCAACAAAGCTACCATTGTGATCTCGTGCAATCCAGCCCCGGACTTTTTTCCCGCTACGATTGACGTCACTAAAGTCATTGTGTGCTTCAAAATAATCCAGTACTTGCACTAATACAGTAGTATAACGTAGTAAGGATCGTATCCACATGGAAAAGAATATCTTTCTTTTATGAAAATGTAACAAGGTGGGTTTTAGGATTGTTTTGAACTTAAAAGTATTTAAACACTAAGTTGAGCGACTTGTGTGATTTAAGTTAATAGAGATGGAGACTTGGTTTTGCTTATATCCACTCAGTGAAATGTTCGTCGATCCCGGTTATATCTTTAACTGTCTTCCTCTCGAATACTCAATCGTGGAGTATCTCCAATTCATCGAGGGTATTTCTTGTTAACGAGACGCGTTCATTAAAAAAATTACTATCTAAACAATATATAACATGCGCCTTATATTGACCCGATAATAGCAATAAAATATAAGATGAATTCAACTGAGATTGACAACTTCAACACAAGCGGTTTATTGGTTTAATCAATATAATTAGTCACTCTTAAATTATTCTTGTCTTTAATTTCAACATCTAATTCGATTAGAAGAAGTATTCATCGGCTTAAAAGTTTTTTAGTATTTATCCATTTTGACATTTTAACTCTTCTTACACATTTATATATTTTTACAATTTAGAAGTGTTTTATAAAAAACATTCAATTCTCTTAAGTTATTTAAAAAAAACTACCATAAGTGGTCAAGGTGACTAGATTTAATTTATTTTGAAAGTAAATGTGCTTAAATGATACCATTACTTTTTTCATGTATGGATTCAACCGGCGTGTTTGAAATAGCAGAGGATCCAATATTTTCTCATAAATTTATATTCAAATTTAGCTTAAGAACGACATAACACACTTTCACATTATTGCCCCGTATTTTCTCTGTTTACACGGGTAATTTGTCTAAAAAATGCAATTCGTATGAATGTATAGTCACTAAGTCACCTATTACTTAGTTAGTCATTATAAACAATTTACTATCAAGTGCTTTGTGGTCTGATGGCATTATTGCTGATCTTCCAAACAAAAGGTCACATGTTCAAGCCTCATCCCAATCAAGGATGTTGACATTATAATGAGTTGATACTGTAATAGGTTTAAAAAGATATTCCCAAAAAAACTTTCCACTAATACATAAAAACCTTTGAAAATGGAAACATCCTTTGCCGAAATCGTTTGTGCATCGTGCGGGAGAGTTATTAGCAAAACATTGTACTAGAATGAAGGATTTTAACACAGGTTAGTGTGTGACATGAGGTCTTAATTATTGTGCATTCCTTAACACCTTAAAATGTTAGCTTGACATTCCAATTATAGATGCGATAATACCCAAACATGACTAATTATTTAATGATTGTAAATAAAAGTCAAAGACAATCATTATCATGTGTTGGTTTGTTGTGCATCACACGGGTGTTTTACTAGTGTATGTATAATTGTATAATGTATTAACTTGAGTCTAAGTGCCTGTTTGGCAGGCATAAGTTCCCGTCTTCTAGCTTTTGTTCTGTTTAGAATGTATTTAAAAGCTTCTAGTTGTATATTTGGCTTGCCAATTTTTAAGAAATTTTATAAAAATAAAAGATCTTTTTTAAGATGCTACAGTGGGTATCATCTCAGATAAGTCTGTAGCTTCTAGCATTAATTAGTCTCAACATCTTGTATACCAAACAGAGTTAAATCAAGTAGTCAGATTTTTATCAAACAGCTACCATCTTTTTCTTTTAGGATATTTTCAGTCACTAAAAGCTAACAATTATCATAATGCTTACAAAAGTATCTTTTCAGCTAGTTGTGCCAAACACACCCGTGAATTTTCACCAAAATTCAAAATAATTAGGGAAAATTCCTCCCAAGGTGGTGAGGCTTTTCTAAAACTTCTATAGTTAGAGAAAATTCCTTAAATAGGAGTAAAAACGTTATGAAATTCCAAAATAGAACTGACATGTTTTTATTCCCTAAATAGGAGTATTTTCTACCAAGTTTGGCATTACTAGACTTTAAACATAGTTGTTTTTTTCAAACTTGACAGAAATTACTTCTATTTAGGAGAAAAAACATGACAATCCAATTTTGAAATATCAAAACTGTATTTATGACAATTTCTAATAGTTAAATAGTGATATATAACTTGAAGTCTCGAATCCAGAAAACATTTGAGGTGACGCATTTAACATATGTCTATTGGTCTAAATTGGGTTGGAGAACTAAAGGCCAAACCAACCCCAAATGATGAGCGCCAAACAAATGAGCACTTAAACTAAAAGTAGACTTGACGCTAATGCTTTTAAAATGATTGGACTTTACTCATCCAAAAGGATCCTCAAAAGTTTAGATTACACTCAATGCGGAGCATTAAGACTAGACTAAACAAACATTACAGTTTCAATCTTCACATAGAGAGATGAACAGTTTTCTTGTTACTAAGTTCCAGAAAATAAGTGGGATGTGGCACTAGGTGAAACGCAGACAGGAGGCGATACAAAGTCTAAGAATGAATTAACTTCTTTTTCTTTTAGGAACAAAATGTGAAGTGAAGTGAATACCAAAGAAGTTCTTGCAGGAAGGGAAGAGATATGTGGAAGAAGGTGAAGGATGGAATTGATGTTCATTGACTCACAGGTAGTATGAGACCATTCATTCTATCTACTGCATTTAAATAATTCATTATGTTTAAACAACTGTCTTTGATTCTTGGAGGGTGGTGTTAGCGTGTGTAATGGTGTTTGAGGTGAATCCATCTAATAGGGTATCTTTCATGATGAAGGTATATATTCTCACACGATAAGTCTCATTTTCATGGTAGGTACTAAGTAGTATTTCTCAAAGGTTAACTAACACATTGTTAACATTCTACAGGAAGTCCAAGTCTATATCAATGTGCCAAAGCTCCAATTGTAGAAGAAAAGTGTCAAGAAAATGATGTTTTGAGGTCAAAGAAAATGAATCCTTTCTAGAGAAGAGATTCCCAGAAAATATGTTGTTATACGGGGCCAAAATTATTTATAAACACTAAGTGTGGCAACGAATATAGACAAATCTGAACACACACACATGATAAGTGATAGGTATGCCAAAACTTTCAAAATCAAGGATAAAGATGAAATGGGTATATGAAGACAGATATTATGAAGACAGACTTGGTGGATTAGGTTGCGATTATCTATTGTCGTCAAATTATTCTTTGGAATTTATAGTTTAGCTTTTTCATATGTATTCCACATATGAGGTAGAGCATACTCAAATTGCTTACCATATCATTGTTACTACGGTGGTAGCACTATTACTGTCATTTACATTACTCCCTAGTCCCTAGTGTTGCTGCCATCCCCCAACCTCACTCCCTCCATTTCCTCCCTTAATATTAATGAAATGAAACTTTCTAATTTTATTTTGATACTTGAAGAAACAATGTGACGATATATTTAAAACTCGTTTTCTAGATTGTCACCGATTTTGAATCAGTTATGCCAATTCCGTTCTAGGCCAGCACCCCAAATCTTTCGCCACGGTTTAGCATTTTCATACATGTCTTCTTCCAGTTCAAATTCCACTCTCATCTAATTTTGGGCAGGTACATACCCCCCCCCCCCCCATATTTCAATCTTTAATAATCTACCCATTGTCCTTTATGCAAAGTGCAAAGAGCCTTTTACTTATCATTTAGCAAAAATCTTCTTTAACATCAAATTACTAAACATGTATAGAGATAATAACTAAGCATATAATTGCAGAGACAGTAGCTAATGGATTGCTAATCCCAGATGGATATCAAGATAATTCGAATGGACTTGGAGAAAATATAAAGAATTGACAGGATCCAAAAGAGAAAAAATTGAGACTGCTTCATCAATTACATTTACAAGAACTGTACTTCCTTTACATATAAATAAGTTGGATTATTTTCAGCTTATCTTTCTTCTTCCAACAATAAAAACAACTGGACATTTTCCCTACATAACCTCAGCAACATAAACTTCAAAAGTTATTAAACAAAACGTGGTTACTTGAAGTTCTTAAGGAGTTAAAATCTAGTCAATTTTATTCTTGAATCTTGAAAGGGTACAGAAAGTTTAGAATAACTTTGTCCACCTCATGTTTTTCTTGAAAGACTTGAACAGTTGAGGTTCTTTCAAGATATGCTAAAAATATGAGGGCGATCTCAAACAAAAAGTGCATTCTTACTGAATGCTAAATTATACAGTAACCAACAAAGAGATGAAGCAACAGAGCAAAGGGTTCTATATTCCAAATTAGTCAACAATCTCAGCAAAAAAAGAAAAGAAAAAGAAAGAGATTTCAGGGTCAAACACAATTTGATCAAATTCATACATGCACCACATTAAGTGTTTGTGAAATTAGCTGCAACAAGAAAGGGGGAAAGATGCAAAAAAACACAGACTAACTTTGACTTGATATTTCATTTGATTTTCTCAATGATGCCAGAGATGACCTCGTCCATGTCAAGATTCTTCATCGGCTGAAATGGCCTCTTCAATCCAAGAAGGCTGATGAACTTCTCCCCATTTTCTTCACGGACCTCGAAGCAGCCCCTTCTTGGCTTCTCCGGGTTAACCACCACTTTCACGCCGGGAATCGCTTTCTCGAGCCCTTCTTTCACCCTTAATGCCCGGGTCTTGAACGAGTTGCACTGCTTGCAGTGCTCGATGATGATTGCCTTCGAGGCAACATCGGAAACCTCTGACGCTTGCTTCACCGGCGAAGGCGACTGTGGCTGGTCTTTTTGCTCATCTTCGGGGGCCGCCGGCTGTTGGGCTTTCTTCTCGGCTTTTCCTTTGGAGGCGACGGCTTTCTTGGGTTTCTTGGCCGACGGCTGCTGCGGTTGTGTGACGGAGCTGGCGTTGACGAGGCGGTTTGAGCTCCGAGTCACCCTAGAAGAGGGATCCACTGCCGTTCTCTTTTTGGGTGCCATCTCTACTTCTCTCTCTTTTGGAGAAGATGAAGAAGACAACAAGAATGGGATTTTTTTACAGCAAATGCTCTGTAATAAACTGAGACAGAGAGAGAGGAAATGTGGTGTGGATTTACACCGCATAAACGTTAAGTAGCTTGAGCCCTTTTAGGTAACATCACCAGTATTGATTTTCCCGCGCTTTTTTGACGGCCTCGATCTATGGAGAGGATCGTCTCACCGACCAATATTCTAGTCATTTGCTCTTTAAATAATATCAAAAATAATTTATATACATTTAAATGATTTTTAATAATATCAACTATTTGAATATAAAACAAAAATAATATAGAGTCATTTTTCAACAAGAATTTCAATCATGATAAAAAAACAAGAATTTCAATCATTTAAGACAACAAAAACTAATAACAACTTATCAAATAAATAATATTTGGAAATACAATCACTTGTTTGATATTTTAATACTCCCTCCGTCTCGTTGGAATATTCTCGGTTTGACCTACACATATATTAATGAAATAAACTTATCAGGGAGTAAATTTTACAGTTTTGACATTGTTTGGCACTGTTTCGACACTGTTTGACACTGTTTTGCACTGTTTGACCCTGTTTTGATGTAGGATAACTTTCCATTTAGGGAAATGAGAACTTTCCAACGGGACATCCAAAAAAGGAAAGCGGGAACATTCCAACGGGACGGAGGGAGTATTAGTTTTTGGTGAATTAAACGACTAAATTTTTAGTGAAAATGCTCTATATTACTTTTGGTCTATATTTACATAGTTGGTATTATTAAAAGTTATTTTTATAGTATGTATTATTCTTAGTTCTTGGAAGATAGTTTGTATTATTTAAAGTAATTTTCCCTAATTTTTAGTGCATTGATTTTAGGGGCTTTTCTCATATTTTTTCCTTTACATTTTTCAAATGACATTTTTGTGTGGCTTATAAACTTTGGGAGAGAAAAATTAGTGATTTGCGATTTTTTAAGATATGAATAAAAAAAGTACTACCTCCGTCCCAAAATGATAGTCATGTATTTCCTTTTTGGGATGTCCCAAAATAATGGTCATGTTTTCCTTTTTGGAAAGAAAGATATGGTTCATATCATTTCACTTTATTATACTCAAATCTCAGCCACAACTTTTATATTTTCAACCACTTTATTAAAACTTGTGCCCAAAAGAAATGAAACTATCAAATTGAGATGGAGGGAGTAATTTGTTAGAGATAATACCGCTAAATAGGCCCTAAATACACAAATATGGTTATGTTATTTATCTTCTCATAAAAGGACTCAAGTATAGATTATCTTTCTATTCTACTATTACCCTAACAGTCTAACTTAATAGAATAGTCATATTTGAATTTTTAATAAAAACAAAAAAATAATAAAATATATTTTTAACTTATACATATAATCGTAAAATAATACTTAAAAAATCTAAAATATTTTTAAAAAGTACTACAACAACAATATTTTTAAAAAGTACTAAAATAATAAAATCCAAAAACTTTAAAAATAAATAAATAATAGATAAAACACATTAAAAATATAAAAGAATATATGTAGGCCTTTCGAGAGATGAATTTAGTAAAGAAAGTAAGCAAATATCTTTGTAACTAAGTTGGGCTTAGGTATGTAGGTGTGGCACTTGTTTTTACTAGGGATTAGGGGTTTGTGACTATAAACTTGACCCAATTAGTAACGATGATTTCACTTGAACTAAAATTTAGGACTTAGTATATTTAAATCTGATTTGATCTGGTCTGAAATTGACTTCAATCCAAGTAAAAACGTTTTAAGAATTTTTTAGGAAAGTGCATAATTCATGTCAAGAAGAAACTATCCAATTACAGTTGATTGTAAAATAGTTTTAACATTTTGTTACCTTTGTAAACTTCATATGTTGTTTAGGAAGAAAATATTTATGTATTATATTCTTGTTTTTCATTTTACAAAGAATGAATACAAATTATTTCAACAAATATTGGTCCATGATCTTATATGTTGGATATCATTTTATATTTAACCGATGTGGAAAAGCACAACCATAATTCTGTTAGACAACTAGAGGGGCATAAATAGATCAAACCAGTTCCAAACTATGGGGTGCCAAATGAACAGACCACAACCAAGCTTAGTTTTCGTCATAAAAGTTCTACTTGATAGAGCCTTAGAGAAGTAGTAAATGATCTTACATTTTGAATTATTACTTAATATTTAACTTATGTGAGATAAAAGTGTCAGCAGAGCAAAATTCAAAAAGAGAGAAAAAAAGATTGGTATAGAAATTGAGTTTTTTAGCACATCAGATGTACACCAGCTACATTTACGCCAATACAAATGTTCATAAGATATCTCACAAACCGGAACATAGTTACAACTTACAAGTATGTGTGAAAAAAGAGCGTGGAGTTTATAAATCGCGATTCAGTAGTAACAATCATATGGTAAATGATTTCAACTTCACTTTCAGTAGTAACAATCATATGGTAAATGATGTCAACTTCACTTTCTTCCCCTCATCTTTGCACTTACTGCATAAACTTCTTTGGTATGCATGCATGAGGATGCATTGTACCAATCATGACTTCAAAAATATAATATATATATCTCCATCAAAGACTTCCAATTGAGACTCATTTTGTTCTTAAAAGAAAAAAGAAAGAAGTTAATTCATTCTCATCAGACTTTGTATTGGCTCCAGCCAGCATTTCTCCTGGCGTAACACCCCACCAAGTAGATAATTGTCTGGAACACAGAAACAACCATAATGTTCATATCTATCCATGTCACTGTAAAGTTAATTTATAGTCTAATGTTAATGGTCCACATTGAGTCTTTACTGGATTGAGTCAAGTACTCACATACTCGGTACTCCAATATACAAGTCTGAGGTAATCTAAACTTTGAGGATCCTTTTGGGTGAGTGAGTCTAATAAATTAATATAGCATCAAGTCGACCCCAGTTCTTATTTATGTGTTCATTTGTTTGGCACCTCGTGATTTGTGTATAAATCTCCCACCTCGAATGTTTACTCGATTTGAGTCATAGAACTATATAAGTGTGAGAAAAACCTCACCGACTCGGGAGGATCTTATGAAATGAGTTAGATCAAATTCAATATATGCAAAGAGACTAGTGCACATCTTACGAGGGTGGGAAAGAGGATGAGATTAAAGACTGCCACCACCTTCCATTCAGTTTTCATGTACTGAGCAACTCCAGCCCTGAGCCAAAAAAGGAATGGAGCATGTGTTGGACACTGGAAGAAAGAGTCAGGAGAAACAAACAAACAAGCTATGACACTCACTTGCAGGAATCACAGTGATAGCACTTAATGTCTCTTCTGTTTTTGTAGAGCTTGCAATCCTTATTTGAGCTTTTTGGATGTAATCTCAAGTCATAATATGAGGCGTTCCGGGCAGGATAGCCACACCTAAAAGACAGTGACTTTACGATATTAACTACTCTGAAGAAAGCAATACACTGATGTAACAATGTAGCGTGTTGGTCAATGAAATATGAGGAGAATCTTTAAGAACCGGTTTAGTGATCGGAAATACAGCTGAAATGATTGGAGTAGTTATGTTTTTGAAAATGGGACTGAATTGTCTAAATTTGTATTTAAAAAAATAAAAAAAAAACTTTGTAACTATTATAGGAGTGGATGAGGCATTAACCTTCATTTAAGTCAGTTCTACCCAAAAAAACTGCAATGTTGTTTTTCTTATTCGACATATTATGCTAGTGTTGTTAAACAAATAAGGTCCGCTTGTTGAGAGTTATTTAACTGAAAGGGTACGTTAAAATTTGTGAAATGAAAAGCATTCGGTAAATCAGTCAAATAGTTAAGGGCTGCTAAGTATAAATCTGCTTATTCCAGTGATAGCAGAATAAGCCAATCAGTGCTACCAAATGGGGTCTTACTGTCTTAGTGTTTGATATGGCAGATGATTAGAAAAAGTGTTCTGCCAATATATCATTTCTTTACATTTCACTCGTTTCATGTTTCAAAAAATGTAACTTATGCACTACTTTTATGATTATGAGCAGATCAGCAAGTAGAGGACTAGTAAGTGTTTGGTAGAAAAATGGCTTATAAACAGAGAAAATATCCTGCAAAACAGGCACTAAAAGAAACTCTTACTCAGATGGTGGCCTGCAGCAACCAGCTTCAATAGGACTTAGCTTTGCATATCTATATTGTTTGAGATTCTGCAGGAAGTAAGTTGTATAAAAACTAATGATTTTAGATGTGAAAAGGGCACAAACAAACAGCGGTGTAGGCTAAAATGCCAACCTTATATTTTTGGGACAGGTTATCGCAGTCAGCAGATTTGACAAGACAGCTCTTCAGGTGTTCCCATTTATGTGAGCTATTGAGCTATATAGTAGAAAATTGAGAGGTAAAGACGAATCGAGGGTGATAATCTTGAAAACTTTAGAAACTTTGATGTTTTGCCTTATAAATAAATACCTGTTTTAGGAACAAAGAATGATAATCTTGAAGTTGATACTCCTTGTACCTGACCACATAAAATCTAGTATTATGGCAATCATTGACTAATATTATGTTTTGCCTAAAAAAACAATTTCATACTTTATTTCTTTCCCGTATAAAATTCATTTGTTAGTATTCAAATAAACAAACAGATAAATAGAGTTTGAACAAACATCCAAAATTAACTTATCAGGTTTGAGCATGCATCTATTTCCTCCTAAATTTTCTCTCTTTCCAGTTATCCACTCTAATTTCCTCTCTATTTTCTTTGCAAAGCATTTCCCATCTTCCAAATGGACCCTCAATGCAATACTTGATGTCTTCAAAACAACACTTCTGACTAAAAGAATAGAAAATGTAGGGTAGTTAAGATTCTAAATTTCAAATAGTGAGTCCTCCAATTCTATCCAATCCCCCTGATGCATGCCTTGTAATGCTGAGATGCACTAAGAGAAACTTGGCATATATTGGTTTGTTGGAAGGTTGGAAAAGAGGATGGAATATAAAATGGTAACAGCTGAAATATAACTAGAAGTTACCTTAAACCAGTTACATTGTGACCAGAACCATTATTTGTTACTATAAATCTGCAAAGTAAAAAAAAGCAGCAATATATCACATATATACAAAGTTCCATCAGGCAGCGCAATAGTGCAAGGTTTTAGAAAGGAGCTTAGTAGGGAGATATATAACACTTAGAGCCCGTTTGACAGGCTTCATGCTTAGGGCTTATTAGCCAGTTTTTTACCACTCATGAACTAATTTTATTATGCTGGCTGAATCTGCTCTTGTGCTCTGAATTAAATCAAAAAATAGTGTGGGAGTTGCGTTATGGGCGAAGAGCTGTGATTGTTACTTAAAAATTGTTATCATATAGTTTGTTTGAATACATACTCAAATATATATATATTGGATGTTTAATGTTTACACATCAGCAGAACCAGCCACTACATCTTTTTTAAACCTTCCCAACAGACCCTTAATATCATAGAGACAGCCTAAATGGTGTTCCCATTTGAGGGGTACTTACGCCAAGACAGTAAAAATCAAGATTGCCACCATAACTAAAAAGAGCAGGATCAAGTACTGAAACCAAAGTTAAGAAACAAGCATTAGATACTAAATAGAGTAATCATGTGAATATGTTATTATTATTTTTAATAATTCAATACACACACACTTCTTTTGGCCCAAAAGCGAGTTCTCACTTTCCATATTTGGATGCCCCAAAATAAAGTTCTCGTTCCCAAATGAAGAAAATGTTAATAGGTTAATGTCACTATTATTCTTACTTTTGCTTACTTTTTGTTTGATTACATAAAATGAGGGCATATGGGGAAAGTAAGAAAAATATAGTGTATAAATATGTGTACTTGTAGGTAAATCAGAAACATATTTTTGGGACAGAAGTGTGTGTGAGTGTATATTTGTATAATGTGTGTATGTTATGAACAAACGATAGTATACAATCCACAATAACAAGGAGTTGCTCTTCCATGCACCAATACATCCAAAAACAGATCTGAAAAATCAACCCAAGAAACGGCTCAAAAATCATAATTAACAGCATTCAGTTGACAATGCTTAAAATCAACCCAGATCTAATGAATTCTAATGACAAACATTTCAATTTCATCCATTAAGCTAAAACTACTTGCTCGCTGTTTCTTTCCCTTCGATACATGCCCATTAAGTACGTATTGTCGGTGGCGGAGGCAGGGCGGTTTATTGGGGTGGGCTGGACAAAGAGTATTTTGTTTTTTTACACGATTTTTTTTGCCTTAATAATTTAAGCACAATTGTAATTTGGGGTGGGTCGGGGCGTAGGTTGCCCACCCTAGCTACGCCCCTGCGTGTTGTGATACACTGTTCATTTATGGTAAAATTATAGGTTAATACAGCTTATAAGCAAGAACTAAATCCTTCCAAATATTGGACCATGGACCATATATCATAAATGTGAGCTCATTTACTTGAAGTCTAATATGAAGAACTAGGGTAAAAGACCAGAGAAATATAGGACCATAAATCATAAATGTGAGCTTACATTACAGATATTAACATGCCAAGAAGCATAACATGAAGGGCTAGAGATTTTCGACAGTCATCATGATCGGCAGCCATCCAGACCCCGAAACCAATTACACCCACAGCTAAAATCTGCATTTTAAAGATAAAAAGAATAAGATAGAAATCACCAAGGACCAAACTACTGAAACTCTATACACAAACTTTATCTGCTTCAGCCCATTACCAGAGAATCAACTTCTAGCTCCCCATTGCAAATTAAGCTCAAGAATCAGCAAAATATTTCTTTTTTATGTATCCATTAAAACAGAACCTGAGGAAGTCACGCTTAAAGCTCCAAGACCATATTTTTCACTGTTTACATTTTCTTGATTTTGTTTTTTATGACTGGAATATGATCTCCACATGGAAAGATTTTCCTTGTTTCTTTGAACTTATGTGCAAAATGACTGTAGGAAAACATTTTTCTCCTCAAGTCTTCAGGAAAATTAACTTTTGAGCAAGGATATGGAGTTTCAAATTCTCTGTATTAGTGAGTGGCATTGATAATATTTCCCTTTAGAAATCTATAATACCAGGTTCCTGTGGATTACTGCAGCCTCAATTTCTCATTCTAAACCAAAAGCGAAAACAGCCACCCAATTTAGGAGCAACAAACTATTAAGAAGAAGCAAACTTCAATGTTTTTAGATGAAAATCGAGATGCCCAAAAGCATAAAGGAAAAAGAGTAAACAAGAAATGGGAATGTTACCACTGTGAGGAAATTAACCCATCTGATTACAAAACTACTAACCGACCCCATTTCTGCCTTTTCTTTGTTTCTTCTTATTCACTCAAGAACTTCACACACAACAGGTATGAATGTAGGTGATGAATGTATACGCAGGTGTTGTATACTTATATGCAGAGAGAGATACAGCCATACAGGCAGATATTATGTACATTTTTGAGTATGAGAGGGAAGATGAAACTTGTACAATTTGTTTTGATAAAGTAGCAAATCAAAGAGGGGATAAAGGTAATGTCACTTTTATGGTAATCGGGATAAAAAGTCAATGGTCATTTTGTTATTGTATAAAAAGTCCCCGGTGTTTTTGAATCCAATAAGGCTATTTTTTATTACAAGAATATTTAACTTATCATCAACAATAAAAAAGTGTCATATAAATCTATTAAAAGTGCTAACTTTTTTAAAGTGTTCGGATGGGCAAGACTGCATGAGTATCCATTAACTAATCTAATTTTTTTTACTCTTATGTGCTAATTTTTATGGAATGTGGAGTACTTTTTATATGATTTATATTTTATACAATGTTCAAAAAGGTGCTAATTTTTATTGAATATCAAATATGGAGTAAAAAAAATACACACTCATACACATTAAAATGCATGAATGATAGAGTTGTCACATTTAATAATATAATATACTTACTCATTTAACTTTATTGTGTAATAAATATTATTTAAATATAATAATAACACTTACAATTGTAATATAAACATGCATAGTTTTTATCTTAATCTACAACTAGTAGCTTTTTTCATATGTGTTGTTAAAGTTAAAGGTACATATATCTCTTAGAATACTAATTAAAATGAAAAATAAAAATAAAATGTTTGACGAATCTAGATGCTTAGGCGGTCAATTAAGAGCTCTGAGCGGGCAACTAGGTGACCGACTAATTCACCTAAACGCCAAATCAATTAGTTGGAGCGCCTAGACTAAGATTTCGGCGTCTAGCTATCGCCTAGCGTCTAGGCGGAGACTAATAAGGTGCATAAAGCAATTTTTAGAATAGTGGATTTAAGCAATGTGGGATTTAGAAGGTATCTCATATGTTAGACATATTACTTCCGACCCGTAGGCATGTCAAAGAGTAGGGTCCGTTCAGGCCAAAACATAGTGTTCCAACTTTCAAACTCTGACCCGCTAAGTAAATAAAGGAGCCAAACCCGATTTGTATATTCTGACGGGTCTGAAAATTGGGACCCAGACCCAGACTCAACGGGTCTCGGAACTGGGTTGGTAGAAACACCAAATATGTGATACACAATATTACAAACTTTGCGAAAACAACAACACTTATATACGAAATGAATTAAAGCAAACTGCGTGAACTAGTTCTATACTTATAATCATCATTAACAATATACAAAACTAAAAAGAAAAACATATTTTCATTTTAAAAAAAAACAATCAAGGTTCCACATAGAAGATCATTACTTATATACTCCTATTACTAAGTATACTTATACTAATAATAATAAATATTGGGTTTTGTCTATTGAACTCAATACACACTTTATCGGTATGTATAAGTGGAAATTACCCATGAGGTCCACTTTTTTGCTCCACATATCATTTTTGTCTCCATTATTTCTTCTTTTCATTTTTAATCTTTTCGGTTATCAAGTATATTTTTTTATTTCAAAAATAACCTAATCCTACGTCAAAACACAATCCCCGAATTGTTGAAGCAGAAGCCAGAGATTACTCTCCTCCTGCCCAGCTCTGGCTGCGACTCCAGCCTCCGTGGCTCCGCTGTTGGGCCTTCGTCCTGTGCAGCTCCGCACTCCGCACTCCACACTGCGCGCTCCTCCCTCTGCACCTCCGCACTCCGTCTCTTGCGGCTCCGCGCTCCATCTCTTGCAGCACCGCGCTTTGTCCTCCATTCTATGCTGCTTTACTTCCAGTTGGCTGAGATGTACCTCAGATAGCTTTGCTGGAGGTGATGAAATCCATTGTAGATCCTCCCTAGCCATCATCTTACAAAGTCACTTATATAATATGCTCTATGGTTATCAACAATTTGGAGATTAAGAAAGTGTTGAATCCCATGAATTCACTCAAATCAGGGAAAAGGTACTATAATCTCACTAAGCAGATTACTAAACAATGTTATAAAGTGAATAATTTCCGTTCTTCATCCATTCTAATGAACTTTAGCCTTTGTGTTGATTAATTCCTAGTACCTAGTGAATAAGCTATAAGTCTGGGTTGTTTTACGTATGATATGCACTTGCTGCAATGTTGTTTTACTTAAAAGCATAGGATGTAATGGGAAAAGCATGTCAAGAGGATGAAAAAAACAGAAAATCCGGAAGCCTAAGAAGAAGAAGAAGCTGAGAGGTGCAATAGTAGGTGAAGAAGATCAACTTGCACCTGGACAATAGCTCCTGAGACATGAATTGCCTTTTGTTTTGTTTTCTTCATTAAACTTATTATTCAAATAGTCCTCTACACAGAAATTTGTTAGTCTGAGTATTAACTTTACATTGGGAGGAGCAAACTCCTCTAAAGCAACATTTTATTGTTAGAGCTTAGAATACATTGGCCAGCTTCATGCTTAGCTAACTTCAATTCGATTAGGTAAGTTCTATTCTAGATTTCCAGTTTAACCTTTATTTCTTGGTTATAGTTTCTGTTTGAGACTTTCATCTTTAATTTTTAGTTTCAACCTAAATTTTTTGCTTTGAGCCTTTGACCACGAATTAAAACCTAAGAGCTTTTTGTTTTTGTTTTACATTTTCTTTTTTGTTTTTGAACTGAAATAATGCAATCTTAATTTTATAGAAAGATTTGCACTAGTCACAGTTAATATGTGATTGAAGTATAGTCTTTAATTTTTAGTTTCATGCTTTTTTCTTGAGTCTTGGACTGTGGATTAGAACCTAAGATCCTTATTTTTCTTTTTGGGTTTTTAGTTGTTGAACTAAACGAACGAAATCTTAAGTTCATAAAAAATTAGCATTTATCACAGTTATCATGTGCTTGAAGTTTTGAGCAGCTGTTTGTTCTTCTTGTTTAGCATTAACAGTTTACCTTTTGTTGAATGCATTATCAGATTCAATGTTTTTTCATTATACAACTTGAAATCCTTTCAATGTTTTGCATTCGCGGCACATCTATGCATCATACCATAAATTCATCTTGTTCCTTAAATAATAATTTCTTTTCAAATGCCCTCCACATTTATTTTTATATAGACATTTGTTTTTATTAATTTTGTTGATCTATCACGTTATGTTGAAATAAATGATTACGATTTTGAAACCTTTGCTAACCGCATTTGACGCTCTAAAGTATTTGACAACTGATGCAACTCTAACGGTAGCTTAGTGTTCTAGGGTGTGGTTGCCACATTTATTGTTGTGGCCGAGATTGAAGTCCGTCCTTGATCCAACTGAAGTGAAGCACTTCGAAGTGACACTTTCATGAGTCAATACAGCATTGACAGATTAGTTTCCACCCAGCTATTGATGTGACACGCCCACAACATTCCCGTAACTGCTTGTCTATTGTTGATGTACATTTGGAACGATCATTCCTTTCTTGGCATTGCAAGAATAGCTTGAATTATATATTTCCTGTGACACTTTTATATGTATTTTTTTGTTTCTTTTTGTTCCATTGTGTCTGTTGCTTTTTGTTGCATCGTGTTGCTTTTTGTTGCATGATATTACTTTTTGTTGCATAATATTGTTTATTGTTGTTTATACATGAATTTGATTTTTTTATTGCTTATTTAGATCTATATTTATCTTTGCTACTGTTTTAAAGTAAAACAATGATATATAAATTTATATCCAATCACTTAAAATTATAAATTAAGATTTATGAATATCAACCAACCACATGAAACATAACGAAACAAAAAAAAACAAAACAAAACAGAGTTATCAACAAAAGGAAACAAAAAGAAATAATAGCGACAAAAACAAACAACATATTTATATACTATGCATTTTAAAAAATTTGTAACAATTTTTAAAAAATAACAAGATTCATATTTTTAAACTTTTTCAATCGTTTCCATGCTTAAATTTGTTTCACTTTTCATATTTTTATTTTTGAGGTTTGTATTTTTCATGCTTTTTGGTTTTATTAAATGTTGCGCTTAAACTTGTTTTTTGTTGTATCATGTTGCTTTTTGTTGCATGATATTTCTTTTTGTTGCATAATGTTGTTTATTGTTGTTTACACATGAATTTGATTTTTTTATTGCTTATAGATCTGTGTTTATCTTTGCTACTGTTTTAAACTAAAAAAATGATATATAAATTTATATTCAATCACTTAAAATTATAAATTAGGATTTATGAATATCAACCAACCACAAGAAACATAAAGAAACAAAAAAAAAACAGAGTTATCAACAAAAGGAAACAAAAATGAATAATAGCAACAAAAACAAACAAACAATTTATATATTATGCATTTTTAAAAATTTGTTAAAATTTTAAAAAAATTACAAGATCCATATTTTTAAACTTTTTCAATAGTTTCAATGCTTAAATTTGTTTCACTTTTCATGTTTTTATTTTTTAGTTTTGAATTTTTTATGCCTTTTGGTTTAATTAAATTTCGTGCTCTTCAATTCTTTTAAAAAACAATTTCTATTTATATTTTATTTATAAATAATTTATAATTCTGATTTTTTTGTATGTACTTTTATACAAATTAATGGGCATATGAAGACTTCTAAAAAATTCACATTACAAAAAATTGTTATTTTTCTAAAAGTTTTCCACTTTGTAAATTATTTTAAATCTTTTCCGTTTTTAGTTTTGATTTTTTTTTTCAAATCCTCTATACATTTGTTAACATTTTTCTAATAAACTTTTTAAAATTAAATTGCATTATTTGATTTTATTAAGTTTTTTTAAATTGCATTTTTCTTAACTAATACATAAAAGTTTTCAACTTTGGTTTTTTACTATGCATGATTTGATTTTTATTAATTTGATTATTTTATTATTTTTAATTTTATCGTATTTTTAATATTCTCACCATTTTCTAAATATATTCATCTTTTTTACATTTTACTCAATATCAGCTTTTTCTACATAAAACATGGATTGAGTATTCTTGGAGTTTGTATAAATTTGACACAGTCTATTCTCAATATAAATTTGACAAATTGAGTACTGCCCATGCATTTCTGTGGAGCGTACTACATACTTAATGCTACGTATATTCCAGTGGATTGGAGCGCATAGCGGACTACGTATATTCAAGTGGGTTGATTTTAGGTAGATGGTCTATTTTTGAAAAGGAAAGTTTTGTTGATCTAATTTTGAAAAGAATTTTAACATGTGATAAAAGTGATATTATTTTCAGTTTGTGATCTATTTGTGAAAAATTCCCTATGTATAAACTATAAACGGGTATAGTTATAGGGTATACACTTTATCTATGTATTAATGTGTGTGGGTGTGTATAGTAATGAGGAATTTTAAATAGATACGAATCTTTAACGGATTGGAATCATATATACTATACTTCACTTATTTATTAAAAATATCAACTGATTCGGATCCGAATCCGGGTAAATGGATTATGGAAGAAAATATAGAATAGTACCTGTTAAAAACAACCGATTTTGGGTTAGGCCCAGGTCTAAACACGACTCATTTACATACCTATTTTCTACGGAGCACGTAGTACATTAGTTCTAGAGTTAATTATCAAAATAGGACTAAAAGTCATTCACTTTTCACAAATAGGACCAAAAAATAAACTATGTTTTCATAGGACTAATTATGTGTACCTTGGACAATTATACCCTTATAGCTATTAAAATGTTTTAATTCCTAATAAAATAATAAAAAATAATAAAAATTCGTAAAAAATACTAAAAAATTAAGAAAAACTTTTTGATATTAAAAATTTAATTAATTTTATTTTTTCAAAATATTAAAAAAATTAAAAAAAAATTAAAAAAAAAATAATAACGCAAAAAAAAATCGCCGCCGCCTCTGCCGCCTCAGCACCACCACCTCCAGTCACCAGGGGAAAAAAATGCCAAGTTCATTACGAATGCCATATTTATGGCAGAAAAAATGAAAATGTTGGCATTCGAAAAGAGAAATATGCCACTTTTTTGATATTTTCAGAAAAAATGGCATTTTTCTGGGAAAATGGCATTTTTTTCATCGGCCGGAGGTGGTGGTGCTGGGAGGTAGTACAAGCGGTGGGAAAGGCATCCATATTTTTTAAATTTTTTTTACGGAGTTTTACTATTTTTTATTAATTTTTTTAAAAATAAAATTATTTTTAAAAAAAAAGTTTTTGAATTTTTTATTTTATAAAAATTTGATAAATTTTTTAATTATATTTCTACGAATTTTTTATTTTTTTTCGAATTTATTATGAATTAAACATTTAATTATGGCTTTTGACTATTTTTAATTCATATTTAATGGAAGGGTAAGAATGGAATGCAAAAATATGTATGTTTCCAATAGGACTCATATGGTCCTATTTTGGAATAAAAACATAGCAAGTCCTATTTTAGGTTTTTGCCATAGTTTTAGTCCTATTTGAACTAATTTCTATTAGTTCTACTACTACGTACTCGGTATTAAATTAGAATAATAATTCCTTCTTTTTATATCACATACTCCATAGCGAGGAGATACAACGTAAAATTGACCCGTTCTTTAGTTTCAAATTTCAATGCATATAAGAAAACAGCTGAAAAGGGTAAAGCTTATGCACTTTATGCGCCGTATAAGATCAGGTACATATATTTCCAAGTTTTGCTTCTTTTCCCCTAGTTAAATGGACAAGTCCGGCGAAAACAATCACTATACAGGCTTATCAATAATAATAATAAAATAAAGTGAGAAGTTCCTGTCCATGTTACTAATCTGTTTTTTTTTTATTCTGATCTGATTCATTTTTATCTTACTCCTTATTTGATTTGAATCTTTATGATCTCGTCTTATTTGATCTGAATCTTTCTGATTTGGTTTGATTTGATCTGAACCTTTCTGATCTGATCATAACATTTCAGATATGATTGAGTGTTTATTAGTTTAGATTATAATTATAAATATAATTAAAACTACAATTACAATTTGTAATTATAATCACAATTTGTAATTATAATTATAATTTGTAATTTAATAACAATTTGTGATTATAATTACAATTTGTGATTGTAATTGTAATTGTAACTATAACTATAATAACTCTAGTGCCGCAATAACTCTAGTGCCGCAGCCATCAGAGGATCCGTTCAAGATTAATCTCTTCATTAGCTTTCTCTCATTAGCTTTCATCTTCTCGATCTGATGGTAATCCAAACCAAAGTCCAAACTATCTAATAGGGACATCGACGCTCAGGGATGCTTGGTAGACTTATGATCCAATTGGATTCTTATTCTTTGATGGTTGTGTTGATTTTGTTATATGGCGGTCCTTTCCCGGGCACTGGTGCTCCGGGGTGGTTTGTCTCTCTCGATGTGTGGAGTTCTGTTGGTGTCTCGACTAGTTTCGTCTGATCATGGGTATCTGTCTGCTTTCTTCAGAGTGCGTAGATATTGGTAGAGACCGTCCTCCTCCAGAACCACCTTCGTGCCATGAAAAGTTTTGGAGAAAGACTTTATTTCAATTTAATTTTTCCATTAGTAGTACTTGTTTTTATTTTAGTTTCAGTAGATTTGGTTTGGAAATTTAGACTTCTGGCATATGTTTGATAGACTGTATTTTAGTCCCGATTGTTTTAGACTTTAAATTGCCGGTTTCGTGTCTAGCGAATCAGGTTGCTTTGTATGAGGTGACTGATTCTATGTCTATTCTCAGGGCTCACAATCGGATTTGTCATAAATGTCTGGATGTTATCTTGTATCTTTTCTCGATTTTATTATAAAACTCGATCCTTTATATTCAAAAAAAAACTATAACTATAACATAACTGCAATTATAATATCCTTATGTTATCGTTATCATTATCCTTATTTTATAACTACGATTACCGTTATTATCCTTATATTATTGTTATCAATATCGTTATACTATTACGAAGTATTACTATTACTATTGTTATTAAATTATACAGAGAAAATAGGGATTAGGACATGAATAATTTTTTTTAGGGAAAAGGGTCAAATAGACCCTACATAAAAGGGTCAAATAAACCCCTATATAGGAGGCTCTGTCCGGTCGTCGTCATTTGGGGCGGTTTCCGGTGGAATTTTTTGATAAAATTTTTTGAGCGTCGTATTCATTACGTCTAGTTTACTCATACCAAATTCCAGCTAAAACTTCAATCGGGAAGGTATTCAAATGAATTCTTGAAGATAATTGCGCAGCTAAAAGCGCAGTTATCTTCAAGAATTCATTTGAATGCCTTTTCGATTGAATTGTTAGCTGAAATTTGGTATGAGTAAACTAGAGTTAATGAATAAGATGCTTAAAAAATTTCATCAAAAACATATAGCGGGAACTATCCCAAATGGTGACGACCGGACAAAGCCTCCTATATAAGGGCATATTTGACCTTTTATGTAAGTTCGAGGGCCTATTTGACCCTTTTCCCTTTTTTTAATATAAAGGATCGACTTTTATATTAAAATCGAGAAAGATACAAGGTAACATCGAGACAGTTATGACGAATCCGATTGTGATTCATGGTAATAGACATAGAATCAGCCATATTTGGGTCGAAGGCTAGATATTGAAGAAGACCTAAGGCACACCGATTAGACATGGCAATGGGTCGGGGCGGGGCAGGTACTGCAAGACTCGGACCTGCCCCGTGACTTCACTGGGTGGACCCGCCCCATCCCGTGACCCACACGGGTCCAAACTTGTTGACCCATGACCCTCTGATTTATTTCTCATAGTCCCTCTGATTTATATCTCACTCAGTGCATATATACCATGGATATATTATCTGAAACATGACTTCTGGGCTGCAAACCTGCTGACTTTCCTATTGAACAAAATTATTCTCTTGCCAAAATCTCTAGCCCTCCTCTGGCTGATCTCAAACCATATGGACGACTTCTTGAGTGTCTTATCTACCTTGTAGTTACCCGTCCTGACTTGACTTATTCTGTCCATATTCTTTCTCAATTTATGCAAGCTCCTACTCAGGCACACTGGGATGTTGCTCTTCGGGTAGTAAAGTATTTGAAAGGATCGCCTAGTCAAGGTATTTTGCTTCGAGCTGAAAGTGACCTTTCCCTTACTAGATGGTGTGCCTCATATTGGGCAGTGTGTCCTCTTACTAGGCGCTCTCTCTCTCTGGTTGGTTAGTTTTTCTTGGTCATTCTCCTGTTTCGTGGAAAACCAAAAAGCAAATTACTGTTTCACGCTCTTCTGTTGAATCTGAGTATCGGGCCATGGCAGCGGCTACTTGTGAACTCAAATGGCTGAAACCCCTATTGATGAGCCTTGGTGTTAATCACACTAAATCCATTCCTCTCTTCTGTGATAGTCAGTCTGCCTTACACATTGCTCGAAATCTGGTTTTTCATGAACACACTAAACATATTGAGGTTGATTGTCATTTTGTTCGGGATGCCATCAAAGAAGAAATTATTGCTCCCAGTTATGTTCCCACTACGGTCCAGCTCACGGATATTTTTACCAAAGCACTTGGGAAGACACAATATCATTTCCTTCTTCGCAAGTTAGGCATCTTGAACCCTCATGCTCCAACTTGAGGGGTATTATGGAAAGAGTATATTCTGGCATTTTGACATTATTTGCATGTCTTTTAGATTAGGAATTCCTTTATTGACTTTCCTTTTGTTCTGGCCGTGTACTTGTTATATTATATAAAGGGCTGGCCTTGGTTCATTGTATGGAATACAAAATCAATTGACTGAATAAGAGTTGAGTTCATTGCTTCTCTCGTAATTCTTCAGTAAATTCTCAACAAAGTTTTATAAACAATATCAAAATATGAAACATGTTTAGAGGATACTATACTGAAATAAACTTTGAAACTAGAAAGAAAATGTTGCGCGATGGATTTTATTGTTTCTACTATGTATTTTCTAAAACCAAATCAAATAAACAAGTTAAAGCACATGAAACTTTTCAAATGATATGTAAATAGTTCATCTAATTCATCAATCAAATTGTTTGATAAAAAATCGATGCACACAAGTATCAATATTACACAAAGAAGATAATAATGATATATTCACAATCTAATTTTTCTCTTATAAAAAAGAAAGGCATCAAAGAGTGCCTTCAAAACTTGTCGATTGATTAATTTGTGGAAATACTAAAATAAAAGTAATAAACATAAATAGGAGTCAAGCTTCCCCAAAATTCACTTCCTCAAAATAAAAGCTCTCTAGCTCGTGAGATAATTTTTTCATAGAATGGCCACGGTATCTTCGTCCTTAGCAATGTCGCTTTGCGAATCCCCGGGCTTAGGTTCACCATTCGCCTTGCCAGAGTTACTCCTATTAAGATTGTTATAACTTCCCTTCTCTTTGAATAGTTGAGAGAAGTGAGGTTTACAATAGAGGAGTCCATCTAATGCAGCATATGAAGAGGTTGTGAGCTTGCATCCTCCATGAGAGCATTTGAAACAGTTTTGGTGATAGAAGAATCCATCCACAGTTACCTAATATCACATATAATGCCACTCTATCATTTACCTATGTAGCATAATAAATCACAAAAATTGGCTTCAAATTGGTTCATCTTTTAAGAAGAAAGACATGGAAACTAACAATCCATGCATCTCCTCCATTCAATTTACCTATGTACATTAGTAATGCTTTTGTCATCCTTCGTTATGTTTTGATTTGGATACCACATATTCATATCTCTAATGTGTTGTTTCAATCTCTAAACCTTAACATCATAGTTTGAACATCGATTCTTGGTGTATACACTTTTATTGTTTACACACTTTTACACACGTATGTGAATGTTTTTTTGTCTTTGAAAGTTTTTTTTGTCTGTGAATAATGTATTCACAGAAGAAAAAAAACCTTCATAGATGTGTGTAAAAGTGTATAAATAATAAAAGTGTGTACCGAATGTTTTTTCTAGTTTGAATCACCTGGCTAGCTAGTCTTATGAATTCAAGATAAAGACCTACCAGATAACCAACCGAACGACCAACCTCTCAAATCAATATTGAGCGACCTAAATAAAGAAACCTAAATAAAGTTGCTAAAATTGAAAGTAGAATATTCCTCAAACAAATAGAGAATCAGTTATTAAAATAGAGAATCAGTAACTTCTAACCTAATAATTAAAATAATTAAATATATTAAGAGTAATAACTAAATTTCGGAAATAAAAATCTATGTACTTCAGAATCGATCATAAAATTAAACCAAAATCATCCAAAGTAGATTTTCAGGTCTTCTTAAATAGTTTTGGACCTCCAACTATTCCAAGGCATCAAACATTTCTCAAGGCACAAGAAATACTTTAGTTATGGCTTGTAAACTCTTACTATTAATATCGCAAAAATAATACGAGTATTTGATTCAAAGTAGGATTCCTGTTTGGTGATCACGTTTTTTGACGCATAAGGTTTAATAGTAAATTTTTTCACCAAACACGTAACTTTTGATTTCACGCACTAAATTGTGTAATAATTAGAAAATGTAAGATTGAAGTTACTTTTCTGGTTGTATTGGATGACGTTACTGTAGATGATTTTTTTAGTTGTTTTGTCATATATTTTTTCTTTATTTTATTAATAAAAATATTTTAAGTATAATTTATACATAAATAAGTAGAATCAGTCAATCTAGTCACTTCAACCAAAACTTCATAATTTTTAGCAGAATGAGCCGATTCAGGCGATTTTGGTATTATCAAACGGGCTCCAAATTTATATCTCCAAAAATAGAACATCTCCCTCTCGGAGAAAATTCATTCTCGATTGAACTCCCACGATCAAAACGGAAATTATATATTACTTCCATCCCAAATTGATTTGCAAAATCAACTTTTTTAGTCTAACAGTTTCATTTTATTCAATTAATTAGGATGTCAGTTTTTAATTATATTCTAACTTGGAGTTTATAACTTTCAAGAGATTTTAATGTAGTTTATGAATATGCAAATTTTAATTATTAAAAATTAAATTAATTATCAATAAGGAGATTTAACTTTGATATTGATTGCCAAAAAATGTTGACTTTACAAATCAATTTGAGACGAGAAAGTACATTGATGAGCACCAAAGTCACAAGTACCATTGAAACTCAAAATCTCACAAACATTCATCATTTCCATCTTTGAGGCCAACAAATAGCCAACCAAGTCACCTTGTAAAACTTAGAAAAGATTTAGTGACCCGCACGGGTAGCTCAATTGGTCGAGTGGTGGGAGATTTTGAACAATGGACCAAGGTTCGAATCCCCGCAGCGACCGGGTGGAGGTCACAGAACCTGAAATAAGACTGAGGCTCTGGTGCGCACGGGTGTATGGGCCTACCGCCATTCTGCTGACTGAGTCGTCGTGACTAACCTCTCACCATCCTGTCGGGTCGGGGTGGGGGGCTCCTGGGGTGGGGGATTCCACCTTTTGGAACAATAGAAAAGATTTAGTGTCATCAACTCTCGTACTTTTGGCTTCCTAGCCTCTTACGTTATATAGTTACCTCTTTTATTTGCGGACAATTTTAGGGAAAAGGGCAAATAAACCCTCAAACTAACTGAAAAAGTGCAAATCACTCCTTTTATAGGAGACTCTGTCAGGCCGTTGCCATTTGAGACGGTTCCCGGTGGAATTTTTTGATGAACTTTTTTGAGAATCTTCTTCATTAAGTCTAGTTTACACATATCAAACTTTAGATAAACATTCAATCATGAAGGCAGTCAAATAAATGTTTGAAGATAACTGCGCAATTAAATAACGCAGTATTATTGCCAATATATTTCAGAAAATCATTTGACTGCCTTCCTGGTTGAACTTTTACCTGAAATTTGGTATGGGTAAACTAGACTTAATAAAGAAGATGCTCAAAAAAATCATCAAAATATTCTACAGGTAACCGCCCCAAATGGCGACGGTGAGACAGAGTCTCCTATAAAAGGGTTGATTTGCACTTTTTCGGTTAGTTCGAGGGTTTATTTGCACCTTTCCCCGAAAATTTATATTCTTAGGACCCCCCCCCCCCCCTCTAAGACCATTGGTGTGGATAAATCGTACTCCCTCCGTCCCAAAAACAACTTCACACTTCGTTTTCACACATATTAAGAAAATAAACTTACTAGTGGGTAAATTTTACTGTTTTGACACCGTTTGACACTGTTTTGATGTAGATAATTTGTCAAATAAGGAAGTGGGAAGAAGTGTGAAGTTAATTTTGGGACATCCATTTAAGGAATGTGGGAAGTTGTTTTTGGGACGGAGGGAGTATTATCTTTTTGGGAAAACTGACAAATAGGTCTATGTACTAAATCAAAAAAGTCAATTAAGTCGGTGTACTATAAAATCATCCAATTAGGTCCTTCAACTATAAAAAACGTTCAATTTATCCTTTTAGCCGGTTGAAAACGGGTATCACCGGTGTATGCTGACTTGGACATTAATTTATTATTTTCTTTCCTTTCTTCTTCTTCCGTTCAATTTCTGTATCTCTCTCGTTCTCTGCTACGCCCAAACATTCTTTGTTTTCTATTTCTTTTCTTTCTACTTTTCTTCCATTCTTCCTCCTGGTCTTGTTTTGTTTGATGTTCGATGGTCGGCCGCGTTGGAGGTTAATCGGGGAATTTGTAGTCGACGGACGGAAGGCATCTTTTAGGATAGATATGGGAGACGGGCGGCACGTGGCAGAGGTTGGGGTGTTGTGGGACGGGAGGCGGCTGACAGCCGGCTATTGTTGAAGATGTGGGCGACGGGCGGCGAAGTGGTGGGGATGAGAGGCACACGACGACAATTTGGGAAGATGTCAGTGACGGGTGCCCGCCGCCGACTGTTGGTGAAGTTTGGGGCGACGGCCGGCGGCTTACGGAGGTTCGGGGAATTTGTGGCAGATGGTCGGCCAGAGTCAACAGTTTAAGAAGCAGTGGAGTATGGAGTTGATATTCTATTGTGGAAACCAAAATGAAGAAAAAGAAAATAAAGAGTAGAGATCGGGATGCAGAAGCAAGAAACCCAGGGAGGAAGAAGAAGTGGCGGAGGAGAGGAGAAAGTAAGAGAAACGAAAAAAAGAGAGCATACTTTGGGGCATCCACCTCACCTTTAGAAGGGATACCGGTTAGTTACCGGTCAAATGGTCTAATTGGTTAAAATTTAAGACTTGCTAGACTTAATTGATTAAAAAAATAGTACATGGACTCAATTGACTTTTCTGAAATAGTAGGTGGACTGATTTGACAAGGAAATTCAAAGTCTAGTTTATTTCAATTTATGAGAAATTCTGTCAACAACTTTATTCAAATTCTTCTTCGACATGTTCATCAGAATCTTTAATTAATTTGCTCGAAGATATCATGACATTTTCATCATGTTTATCACTATCATATATCGAGTTGTTTATTTTCAAGTTGAGGTGAAGTGAGCTTAGAGTTGTCACATGTAAAATGGGAATTTATGTTCCTATCATAGCCACATTTCGAGTCATACAAGATTGGGGTAAATAAGAAGTTGGCTTCATCTTTACATTAATATAGTTATTTGATTTTCAAAAAAGAAGTTGACTTCATCTCATTCGATCTTATTACTTACGGCTTATTCTTATTCTATTTAGATAAGGTCAGAAAAATTCAGATCAGATCAGAAAGATTCAGATCAAATCAGCAGGATTCAGATCAGATCAGAAAGATTCATATCGGATCAAACCAGATCAGAAACATTCTGATCAGATCAGAAACATTCAAATCAGATCAGAAAAGTTCGGACATGATTCATCCCTTTAATTATTATAATAATTATAATAATAATTGTAATAATAATAATTATTGTTATTATTATTTTTATTCTTGTTATTATTATTATTAATGATATTTTTATTCTTGTTATTATTATTATTGTTGTTTTTGTTGCTGTTGTTGCTGTTTTTATTATTATAATTATTATACGGAGTAATTATTGTTATAATTATAATTATAGAAATAAATATTATAATTATTATTAAAATTATAATTATAGAAATAATTATAATTAAAAATATAATTACCATTGTAATTATAGCTATAATTATAATTAGTATAATAGGTATAATACTTATACCTATTATAATTTTAATTTTAATTATAATCATGATTAAAAAAATTATTATTACGTATTTTGTTATAATTATGATTATAATTATATTTAATTTATATTTATAAGGAAAAATTGAAAATAATAATCCCAACTATTGCCGATCCGCTAACAATAATCCCAACTATTGATTATTTTGTATAATCCCAACTATATGGACCGTCCGCCAATAATGATCCATGATCGCATATTATTTGCTCTAACAAGTGAATTTTTAATAGAAATTAAGCGTAAAAATTAAAATTTGGGATTATTTATAGGGATTACATGTTATATCTCTTTAGAAACTATAGAAATTTATTTGTAGTCGGTCACGTCGGACCATTACTGGTGGAGGGTCCCTAAAGTTGGGATTATTCTGAAATAATTGATAGTTGGGATTATTATGAGCGGGCCGCCAATATTTGGGATTATTACAATCAATTTTTCCTATTTATAATTACTATTGTAATTATAATAATTATAATTATAATTTTAGAAATATTCAAATCAGATCAGTTCAGAAAGATTCAGATCAGATCAGAAAGATTTAGATCAGATCAGAAAGATTCAGATCAGATCCGAAGGATCCAGATCAGATCAGAAAGGTTAAGATCAGAATGACTATATAGTCCACAACCCTAATTTAGGCTCTCAACCATTTTGTCCACCATAACTCTAACCATACTAGCCATCACATACTCGGGATCTGCAACGCATGAATGTGTGGTCTGTGCGCGCGACCAATGAACAGTAGAGCGTGTGATGCACACAGGATCCACACGGTGTGCGTGGTCCATGAACGCAACCGCATGTGTGTTCGTTTCATCCCAAAAATGCAATGTTCAACCTTTTGTTATAAATAAGGCTCTTTTACTGATAAAATCTTCAGCTAAACACTCTCAAGCCACGAGAGGTGAATTTTGGTGTCAAGAAATTGCCTCTACATATATAGTCATCTTGTAGTAAGATAGAAATCTAGCGTTTTAATATGTTTTATTCTGTTTCAATCGGTTGAGCAATTAGTCTTGGATTTATTTGGTACTAGGGACCCGAGACAAGGCTTGGAATTTCGAAACCCGTCTCACCTTAAGAAAGTGAGATCACGTCAATGGCACGATATTACACACATGGGTTTAAGACTTACCGAACTTGTTAGATTTACTGAAGCGTCAGAAATGGGTGCTCTAGAACAGGCGAAAAGAGATAAAGTTAAGGCTGAAGTCCCTTTTGAGTATACAGACTTGAATAATAGTTATAAGACACGGGAAGTTCCTTGTCCACTGTGATTCAATCTATAGTCGTGGGAGTAAGAATGTATTTGTAGGGAAAGATTCATATGGTTAAAAAAGCCCTAAACTATCAAGGTTTATATTTCATAGATAATTCGCAAAATTGCTAACTTACACTCATCTCTAAAAACTGAAAGAAAAGTTTTCGAAACAGAACAAGAAACACTTTTTAAATGGGATATCTCTTCTACAAAATACACTCAGTACAGACACAACATCTACCTCCACAACGAACCTTATTACATATACTATGGTATTGGTACTAGTATTGATTTTATTTTGAGGCACACAACGACTCTAGTGCCGTCATTTACACTTAATGGAGAACATGCTCACACCATTTCATGAAAAAAATCGATCTGGAAGCACCTCAAAGGAAGGAGGCCCAAAAATTGTAAGTTTTAGGTCTACCTTACATGATAATTGTCCCTACATACAATATAAATATTTTGGAAAGTATTCTGAGAATAAATGGTTTTTACTAAATTATGAACAACAATTTCATAATTGTGTGTGTCACGCAGAGAAATCTGGGGTGCTAGTGGGTTAGGGCTACTAGCCTACTACTCCTTTGGTTTGGTTGGATTGATTTGGGCATGTTGAGGTAGAAATCTTGGGCACAAGAATGTTAACATCATTTTCTTTGGTCGTAGTAGTAGTCCTTATTCCGCTTTTAAGGATTTATTCCTTTATGTGAGTAGTTGTTAAGAAAATCTTGACTACTTGATCTTCTTACTACTCGGAGAGTTTGAAACCCCTCTTAGGGATGTACACACTTAAGGTATAAGTTGAGCTTCCAAATTATAGTCGGTGGGATCTGAAATTTTGGGATGAATCGCGGGCTGTCTGTGACCTACGTTTTTGCTAGACTAGAGAAACCATGAGTTTTGCTCACCTCTTTTAATAGAATTGAGAGATTTGGATTGCTTATAATTTTGATAAATTAATATTGGATAAAGGTTTTGGAAAGTCATATTTTACTCCTATACAGATATGTGTATTATTTAAAATTTATAAATATTATTTTAAGTTATAAATGTTACTCGCATTATAAATGTTAATTTAAACGTGATAATAATATTTTGGAAAGTATATGAATTTTCAAAAAGGACTTCGAGTAGAAAAATTATTTTTGTCAAACTACATTATTTTACGGGGTCGAGTAAGTATTATTTAGCTATAGAACTAATTTTTGTTTTTCTTATGTTTTCTATGTGCACCTTATTTTATGCAAGTGGTGATTGTACTTGATGATGAGAGTTGCGCTAGAACACCTAGTTTATTATTAATGCCTTGCTTATTTAAATTTGAATTTGAGAATACGTGAACAACAATTAAGTTGTTTTGGAGTTTAAATATTTGATTATTCATATTTTATTTTTGGTAGTGTTTTAGGTAGCCAGTTAAGTGAGAACCCAGTGTGACAGTAACACCCAATGTTTTAAATTCTGCTATGCAATATATTGCATTTTGAATTTCAAATATTTTGGAAAAAAGATTTATTAAATCACTACTTATAATATATATTTTGAGTTAGAATTTGGCGATGATACACGTGACATCTAGTCGGTCAAAGCCTCACAAAGTGATGGGGAAATGTAACTACAAACAAGATTTAGAACATCTAAAATAAGAAAATTAAAATAATCACCTAATAAATACTTCTAGTTACTACTTTGTCCTCTAAATATTTGCGACCATTTCACATAACAATGACTTCATCATTCAATAAATAAATATTGGATAAATAATAATGTCACATATTAATAAACAATGATTTAATGTTTCCTTAAATGATGTCTACTTAATTAAATAAGACTCACCTTCTCCAATGGATACACAACTTTTTTGCAGACTGCACACTTTTCTTGGGTTCCAGAAAATGCAGAAGAAAGTTTGCTAGGGGTCCTTGCCTGGGTTAAGATATAATATTCAATTCATGCAAGATATATAGGTTCAATATTATTGATGGTTTAGTCCTATAGCTAGTGCGTATGCAAAGTATAATAACAACAACAATAATAACAACAATAATAATAACAACAAAAATAACAACAATAATAATAATAATTATAATAATAATAATTATAATAATAATAGTAATGATGACGATGATGATGCAATGTATAATGTATTGGGTTTAGACCAGGCCGACAATAATACTAATTTGAACTGGTCACCTTTAGAGCAAAAATAATACTCTTAGGATATGTTCTACTTCTGCTAAAAATACAGTGTAGTTAGTTTAAGTTAGTAAGACATGTGAAGTAAACACAGATATTGCTTAAAAAGTTGTGTAGTAATCCAAATATGTGTTTAAAGCTTCGTTTACCAAGTATACTACCCTCATATATTAATTAAGCAATCGTTAAAACTTTTTCAATTCCCGCATATACCTTTAAATCTTATTTTAAATCATGTGAAGTAATTTTTTTTATACTACTGCTTAGTTTATGCACTTGCATTCTAACACATGTCTTAATAAGAACTGCTTAATAACATGTGAAGTAAACAAAGTGAAAATCAATATATTGACCAAAAAGAGGTAAAGAGATGAGTTCGTACCAAATCGCCTTGCTTCCCAACTTCTCGTCATAATAGACAACAACCCAGTACCCAAAAAGAATGATCAGTTAGTTACCAATAGAAGGATATATATAGTTACATGTTTCTCTTTATAACCGTTACCCACTATTAATAAGTGTCACTGTAAAGAATAAAACATATTAATTAAATCATGCTATATTTAGCTCGGATTTTTTACTTGGACTTGTTGAACACTGCTTGGCAATTACTAGGCCGCTGGAATGCATCAACTTAGGTAATGGGGCTTTATTGACTTGGACCCATTGGGCCATGTGTGGAAGGTGGGCATCTCTCTTTAGATTTTTGTGGACTTTATTTATTTTTTGAACTAATGATACTAAGCTGAGGTTTTCCCTAGTGATAGTTTGGAGTTATGAGATTTGTTTTGGACTTTTAAAAAATATTTTCTCTCCTCCTACCTCCGCCTCAAGGTGGGGGTGGGGGACGGATACTATTTTAGGTTAGACTAGCTAACTTAGGTAGTTTTATTCTATTTTTTGATACATTGGATGATTTTTTTCTTGAGCGATTTTTTAAATACTTGCCTTTCATCCAAAAAACGTATCAAACTTCCATTCCCCACTTAAAATGATACGTAATACTCTGTATGTAATTCTTGACCATTTCTCCCGACATCAAATTAGGTGTAGAGTTATGTTAAAGGTACACAATCTTACAATAAGTGTTACAAAAGAATCATGCGTCACCATCCTATTGTTTAACGAATCATATCACTTTTACATTCAACTGATTCAAGGTGATTACACTACTCATGTTGCTTGTTTGAAAGTTTTTTACGTAGTATAAATTTATTTGTACTTATAGAATTTTCTTTAAATATGTGACATTCACACTGTAATTTACATAAGTATTTTTCAAAACAAAATAATAGTACTTGATTTTGACCTCAAATGTTTGTTATTCATACATAGATAGGTTAATAGTTGGGTAAATGGTCAAATAGGCCATCGAACTAACTAAAAAGTGCAATTCACCTCTTATATAAGGAAGCTTTATTCGGCCGTCGCTAATTGGGACGGTTCCTGATGGAATTTTTTGATGAAGTTTTTTGAGCATCTTCTTCATTAAGTCTTGTTTACCCATACCAAATTTCGTATAAAAATTCAACCGGGAAGGCAGCCAAATGATTTTCTGAAATGTACTGCGCTGTTTAACTGCGCAGTTATCTTCAAAAAATCATTTGACCGTCTTCCCGATTGAACTTTTAGTTGAAATTTGGTATGAGTAAACTAGACTTAAGGAAGAAGATGCTCAAAAAATGTCATCAAAAAATTCCACTGAGAACCACCCCAATTGGCGACGGCCTGACAGAGCCTCCTATAAAATGGGTGAATTGCACTTTTTTAGTTAGTTGGAGAGTCTATTTGACCATTTAGCCGTTAACAGTTTAAACACATGTCCATTGTTTAACAGGTTCTCAACTCACTCCCTACTTAAAAAGCTGTAGCTATATATTACAGAAGAAGGAAAATAAATAGAAAAAGGGAGAAAAAACTAACTTGAATTGGACCTTACAGTAACCCCTTTCTCTTTAAGGGTTTGTTCAAAGTGCGGCTTACAATACAACACTCCATCCATGGAGGAATAATTGCTCAACTGAAATTGATAAGTATATATAATTGTGATGTGAAAAGATATGGAGATGCTTCTAACCAATTTGTTGAAATGTATTTTATCTCCCTCCCATTTCATGTATCTTGTTTTGGTTTGACAAAACTATTAATAAAGTTAGGTTGTTGAAAAAGTAAAGTTTGTGATTGAGATTTGAGTGTAATAAAATGAAATACTGTGAACCACATATTTCTTTCCAAATTGTAAATATGACACTTATTTTGAAATAACCTAAAATGGAAAGTAAGACATTCAAAACGGAAGGAGAGAGACATTTGTGAAACATTAAATTAAAAATAGATTTCATATATAATTCCTAAACGGTCATGGGGAATATATATATGTCATACGTACCGCAAGTCGGCCGTTGCATTGGGCGCATCTGAAACAAGTATTATGATATGCAACGCCGCCGGGAGAAACCATCTCGGCGATGTAAACCGTTTTATCACAAGCCTTACACTTTTGTTGGGTTCCATTATTGAAAGCCATCTTAATTAATTGTAAGATTAAACCCCCAAGCTGCTTGAGGATAATCGATCAACAAATAGAGAATATATCAATAATTTACATATATAGCAATTTTGTTTTACCAAATGGAGTTCCTGAATAGTTGAAGCAATTATTATCACTAATGGTTAATGGTGAAATGCATAATTTTGGTTTGTGGAGGAGTTGCATTCTGCCTTAGCTTGAATTTAGGATAACATATGGAATGAAAGACAAATGACGCCCGGAATTGTGGATATGGTGTTTCAATTTCTGACCAATTTTGATTATTATTATTATGGCGATTTTTTCTTGAAATATTGTAAGTAAGCTTTTGAAATTAAATACTACGTAGTATATTTATGCAAAAAAAATGTTGCATGAAAATAGAAAAATCGATTTTTAGAGAAAAAAAGAATAGTTTTCATAATTAAGTTTATTTAGACACAATCAAATTAAGGTAGAACCTACGTGAGTTTATGAGCTTATTTCCACACCGATTCAAGTTGCATGTATTCCTATTATCATGGAGCATGTATCATTGGGGGAGTATTTGAAATATGTATATGCATCAAGTATATATTGAAAACTGTTTAACAAGCTATATTTGAATTTGGCTCATTAACTAAAGGTTCATAAATAATTAAGGCCCACCAAAGAACTTCTCGAGGTACCCTATCATATGCCATTGACTTAGAAAAGGCATATGATAGGGTACCTCGAGAAGTTCTTTGGTGGGCCTTAACTAGGAAAGGCATATCACGCAAGTATATCAGCATCATCATGGATATGTATGAGGATTGTACTACAAGTGTTCGTACTAGTGTAGGGAGGACTGAAGAGTTCCCTATTACTATCGGAGTGCACCAAGGATCGGCCTTGAGTCCTTTCTTATTTGGCATAGTCATGGATGAACTTACGAAGTCAATTCAAGACGATATACCGTGGTGCATGATGTTTGCCGACGATATTGTATTGATTGATGAGACGCAATCAGGTCTTAAAGTAAAGTTGGAAGTATGGCGACAAACATTGGAGAATAAGGGTTTCAAACTAAGTCGGAGCAAGACAGAGTACATGGAGTGCAAGTTTGGTGGAGGTAGAAGTAGTGGTAATAGCGGAATTACTCTGGATGGTAAGGAGATACCGGTCAGCGATATGTTCCGTTACTTGGGCTCCATAATTCAGAAGGACGGTGAGTTAGATGGAGATGTATCCCATAGAATCAGAACAGGGTGGATGAAGTGGAAGAGTGCGTCAGGATTTCTATGCGACCGAGGTATGCCGACTAGACTGAAGGGTAAATTTTATAGGACAGCAATTAGGCCTGCATTACTGTATGGCGTAGAGTGTTGGGCGGTGAAACAATGTCACATTCATAAGATGAGTGTGACAGAGATGCGCATGCTGCGTTGGATGTGTGGGCATACTAGGAAGGACCGCGTGAGGAATGAGACAATCAGACAAAGGGTGGGAGTAGCACCTATTGAAGACAAGATGCGGGAGTCGCGTCTACGGTGGTTTGGTCATGTGCGTAGAAGACCGAGTGATGCACCTGTTAGGCGAGTTGAGATGTGTGGACAAGAGGCAGGGAAGAGAGGGAGAGGAAGACCCAAACAGACGTGGGTTAGGGGAGTTCGAAGTGATATGCTTTTTCTGGGGTTGGATGAGGGCATGACTTTGGAGAGAACTAAGTGGAGGGCGGGTATTCACGTGAAGGAGTGATCTTGATAATTTTTTTCCCTCATCTTTTTTTTTTTCGTAGTTTTTTTTATCCTTATATATATATATATATATATATATATATATATATATATTTATAAGCATTATTTGCAACCTTTTTATTTTATCATTTATATATATATTCATCTTTTTTATATTATCTTTTCATAATAGCTTATCTTTTTATCTTTATTCCTTCTTTTCCTTTTGGTTGTGATATCATGTATCGATTCATGTTAGCCGACCCCAATATCTTTTGGGACTAAGGCTTGGATGTTGTTGTTGTTGTTGTTGTATATTATCCTTTATTTGTATTGTCTTTTCTATTTTGCTGAAAGAGCTTAAGTAAATCAGTGCATTATTTCAAATCTATTACGTAAGAGCTATACTTAAATAAGTATCAATGACATATAAGCTTGTCTAGCTATATTGGAAATACAACGAATTCCACTGATTTTAGAATCTCTCATGATTAATGGGCCACATTTTGAGAAATATTGAAAATTTGAAAAAAATGATAATAACTTAGTCTCAAATAATATAAATTTAAAAATGTAAGAAGTTGAATAGTAAAAATTTATGAAATAAACAGGAATAGATAAATATATTGAAAAGTAAGTAAAAAGTAAAAAGTTATAAATTAATATGTAAAAAATTTAAAAAATCGAGAAGTGCAAAACATTACAATAACAAAAGGGTTTCTATATACTTTTCTTTAGGAAAAACATTATTATTTTGAAATTGTACCTGTTTTGTGGAAAAACACTTAAAAATTTATAACAAATTTAAAAATTTCGAATATGTTTTTTAATGTTTTGCAAATTTTATACTCTTTGTTACATTTCAAAAAAAAAACATTTTTGTTTTACTTTTTTGGTTATTTATAGGTTTTGACAATTTTACAAGTTTTTTCGATACTCCGTATTTGTTAAAATTTTATGGCTTTTCACATTTCTATCAATATTTTCCATTTTTAAAGGGTAGTCTCCTATAAGGGTTTAGGTTATGGTAAATTGCAAGATTGATTGTTGTTGAAGCGACTCAAGGAACTCGTGTTTTGAAAAAAGCCGGTGGAGGTCTAGACCTTGTTTTAGAATACGGAATGAAACTATTCATTTGATTAAATATTTTTCTCACTAATATTTCTGCAGTCTGCACCTACTTTTGAGTATTCAAATTAGTCAAACTAAAAGGAGTTTTATTCAAAAAATGAAAACTGTTTTTAATCAAATCTATGTCCTTCTATTTATATATAAGAAAACAAATAGCTCTAAAGACAATTTTACCCTTAATGAAGCCTACGTGTCTTTCTACCCTTAATGGAACCGGTCCGATACGGTCCGGTTCCAAGGATAGAAACGTTCGGTACCATATTGTTTTGGAACGGTACAAAACGGTACGGTACAATGCCAAACACATGCTAAAAATTTTGAATAAGTCTTGCGATTAGTAGATATCATAACACCAATCAACTCACATGAAATGTTGAAATAAATACAAAAAATTGCATACGTAGTACTAAAATTCAAAATTACACAAATAGTGCAAAACAAGTGAGAAAAAGTATAGCAAAACGATGACGCACGAGATAAATATCATTTTTAATTTACTAAGTTCATGTGAAAATATAAAAACGAATATCATCAAATTGTTGAATGTAATAGAAATCTTCAACGTTCTTCTTCTTTGTTCTAGGTTAAATATTACTCCGTAGTTCTAATTTAATTTATAGTTGAACCTTGAGAGCTAAGATTTAAACCATATTAATTAAGTTGTAAAAATTGCACAAACATGATACAACAAAAAGTCATGTACACTACATTACTAGAATTGAATAGTCTTTAATGATTTCTAAAATTTTAATATTCTTTCAATACATACCAAAATATAACATATATTATCTAAAAAGAAAAAATAACAATATATATAAACACACACATTTAGATATCTTAGGGACACATGAATGCATATTTGGGGTATGAAATTGTTGGTCTATAAAAAAGATCTATTGGTATAGAAAAAATATAAAAAAATTCAAATGCATTATTTTCGAATGGTTCGGTCCGGTATTTTTCGGTTCTCAAAATCTAGAACCGGTCCCGTACCTGTTTCAAACGGTACCGTTTCGGTACGGGATAAAAATCTATATAACCGTTTAAATACCCGGTATTCGGTTCGGTACCATTACGGGACGGTTCGGTACCGGTTCGGTTCGGGTTTTATGCCCACCCCTAACACTATTCATATTAACGAGGGGGGGAATTTATCTGTCTCATATGTAGTTATTTAAAGTATAAGATAAGCCGACTAACAATTGAGCGAAAGAATTTCTCTCTCTCTCATATATATAGTACATTTAGGTATAAGGTAAATAGGCTAACAATTGAGCGAGAGAACTTTCTCTCTCATGTATGAAAGAGTTTTAAGTATAAGAAGATAAACTTGTTAATAATTGAGCGGGAGAATTTTATCTCTCATATGTAGTGTCCTTAGCTATTATAGGATAAACTTGCTAACAATTGAGCGGGAAGATTGAGGGTGAGAATTCGCTCTCTCATATGTAGTGCTTTTAAGTATTAGAATTAGAATATAATCTTATTAACAATTGAATGAGATAACTTTCTCTGTAATATGTAGTTCTTTTAAGTATAAGATAAGTCGGCTAACAATTGAGCGGAATAATTTCATCTCTTATTTGTATTACTTTTAGGTATAAGAAGCTAAGAAGATAAGCTTGCTAACAATTGAGCAAGTGAATTTTCTTTCTCATATGTAGTGTTTTTTGTATAAGGTAAAATAAGTCAGCTAAAAATTGAGCAGAAGAACTTTCTCTATCATATATAGTTCTTTTACGTATAAGATAAGCTGGCTACAATTGGGCAGAACAATATCTCTCTTTCATATGTAGTGTTACACTCGAGATTAATTTTGTGGTAGTTTGTCAGAATAGTACTAGAGGTTTGGAGTAACTACATCGGATCCTATGGGGCGGGATGTTACAGGTAGTGCTTTTAGGTATAAGGTAAGCCGGTTAACAATTGAGCGGGATAACTTTCTCTCTTATATGTAAGAGTTTTAGTTACAAGAAGATAATGATGCTAATAATTGAGCGGAAGAATTTTCTTTTTCATATGTATTACTTTTAGATATTAGAAGATAAGTTGCTAACAGTTGAACGAGAGAATGGAGCGGGAGAATTTATCTCTCATATGTGGTGTTTTTAGGTATAAACTAATCCGACTAACAATTGGTCGAGTGGGACAATTTTCTGTCATATGTAGTTCTTTTAGGCATAAGAGAAACTGGTTGAAAATTTAGCAGAATAATTTTCTCTCTCTCATATATTAGTTCTAATTTAACTGATGAGTACCAACTTCTTTTTCAACTAATACTATTCATCAATTTTAATAATTATTCAACTCACTTAAACTTTATGTCACCCACCTATTGTTCTCACTTTTTCAGAATAGTATTTATTTTTAAATTTAATTTAATCATGAAAATTTATAAGTAGTAAATTCTAATGAATGGTGTTAATTGATTTTTCCTAATATACTCTTCATTGGATATGTATTTAATGGGCTTATACTTTATGATATTAGCTTATTGTACTCTTATTTTTCAAAAATGTTGAATTCTACAAAGTATTTTTATTTTAATATTTAATCAAATCGTGAGTAAAAATATATGCACCAAATATTCTTTCCCGTGTGTATGCACGGGTACTATACTAGTTCATAAGAAAACTAGCACAGTACCCGTGCATACGCACGGGAAAAAATGGTTGGTCTACGTATACTTTTATTTATGATCTAATTAAATATAAAAATAGATTTTTTCCTTACAATTTACTTCATTTCAAAAGTGGAGTATGATAAGTGAATATAAAAAAGCATAAATCCATACAACAAATATTCAAAGTAAAAGAAAATTAAAATATGAAAAAATCAACATCATCCATTAAAATTTACTACGTAATACTACGTAATAATTAGTGATGTTGGTAACAGAGTGAAGTATTGAACTTAATTGTTAGAGTTTTGAAAAACTACCTTAAAAAGAACTTATAGTAGTAATGACTTGTGATTTTCTTTTCTTATCATGTACGCGGTATTTTGAACGGGATTTTCACTATGGGTCATCCGGAAACAGTCTCTCTGTGCTTTAGTACATGGGTAAGACTACGTACATCCGACCCCCCTTTACCCCACCGTAGGTGGGAGCCTTTGCGGCATTGGGGTAAATGAAAATGATCATGTACGCGGTATTAAAACCAGTAATCCATGTTACTGATTGTACAGTAAATTCAGTAAAATCACAAGTCATTACTATTATAAGTTCTCTTTAAGGTAGTTTTTCAAAACTGTAACAATTAAGTTCAATATTTCACTTTTGAATATTTGTTGAATAAATTTATGCTTTTTTATATTCACTTATCATACTCCACTTTTGAAATGAAGTAAATTGTAAGGGAAAAATCTATTTTTATATGCACGGGTACTGTGCTAGTATAATCAAAACCACTTCTACGTATGAGAGAAAATTCTCTCGTTCAAGTTTTAGCCGGTTTATCTTCTTATACCTAAAATTACTACATATGAGAGGGAAAATTCCCCCGTTCAAGTTTTAGCCGGTTTATCTTCTTATATCTAAAATCACTACGTATGAGAGAGAAAATCCTCACGCTCAATTGTTTTAGCCAAATTATCTCATACCTAATATAAAAGTACTACGTATGAGAGAGAAACATCTCCTGTTGAATTGTTAGCCGTCTTATGTACCTAAAAGTACAACATATGAGACTGAAAATTCTATTGCATAAGTTTTAGGCGGCTTATCTTTGACCTAAAAGCACTACGTGTGAGACAGGAAATTCTCCCGCTCAATTATTAGTCAATTTATCTTGTTATACCTAAACACACTACATATGAGAAAAAATTCTTCCGCTCAATTGTTAGCCAACTTATCTTATATTAAAAAGAACTACATGTGAGAGAGAAAGCTTTCACGCAAAACTATTAGCAAGCTTATCTTGTATGACCTAAAAGTACTACGTATGAGAGAAAAAGTTCTTCGCTCAATTGTTAGTCGGCTTATCTTATACCTAAAAGCACTACATATGAGAGAGAAAGTTCTTCCGCTCAATTGTTAGCCGTCTTATTTTATACTTAAAAGAATTGTTCATGAGAGATCAAGTTCTTCCATTCAATTGTTAGCATGCTTATCTTCTAATATCTAAAAGCACTACATGTGAGAAAAAAAAAAATTCTGTTTCATTGTTAGTTGACTTATCTTATACCTAAAAGCACTACATATGAGAGAGAAAGTTCTTCCGCTCAATTGTTAGCCGTCTTATTTTATACTTAAAAGAATTGTTCATGAGAGATCAAGTTCTTCCATTCAATTGTTAGCATGCTTATCTTCTAATATCTAAAAGCACTACATGTGAGAAAGAAAATTTTTCTGTTTCATTGTTAGTTGACTTATCTTACCTAAAAGCACTACATATGAGAGAAAGTTCTTTCGCTCAATTGTTTACCGGATTATCTTATACTTAGAACACTAGTTATGAGAGAGAAAGATTTCATGTTTAATTGTTAGCAAACTTATCTTCTAATACCTCAAAAGCACTACATATGAGAGAGAGAATTTACAATGACAATACTAACATTTATGAAATTTGATATATTTTTTTATAAAAATTAGAGAAACAATGAAAACATTATAACACTTAGAAGAAAATCGTGTTTTTTTACACATTGGACATCTTCCTCATTTAGAATGTTATTTAGATTCCATTGGATATCTACTGAAAATGATGAAGTTGTAGCCGAATTAACTGAATAATGAAAATTTTGTATTTTAAAATATACTCTCATTATAAAATAAAGAAAAAGTATATGAAAAGTATGTTTGTGTTATATTCTCATATAACACCAATATTATATATATAAGTTTTTTTTTGAATATTTATTAAACAACTTTCTATTTTTCACGCATTTTTTCGTATTAAATAAAAAAATAATTCATAATTGTGAAAAAAATAAGGATAATGGATAAAATTGTGACTTATTAACTTTTGGTATTTATAATTTATGTTTTACGTAGTATTTAGTTTCATTTTTGTTCACAAATTCTATTTGAGAAGTTTTTCCTAAAAGTCGCTTTGATATAATTTAAACAAAATTATAGTCACTGAAAATTGTTATTTTCAAGGAAAATTACTCATACTCAAGACAATTAATAAAAAATACATCACAGTTCACTCTAGACTAATAGTGTGCACACAAAACATGATTCGAAACTACATAAATTAATAGATTTTTTGTATATTCAATTTTAATGTCATATTAAAGATAATGCAAAATAAGAATCTTTTTCTTATAACAATCAAATTAAAAATAAAAAAGTTATAACAATATAACACATACTACCTCCATCTCTTAAAACTTTGCCAAAGTTGACCGATACAGAGAATAATAAAGTAAAAACTGTGTAGTTGAGATTTGTGCAGAAGAGAGGGAAATAACATAAACCACAAAATAATTGATTAAAAGAGAAAGTGACAAAGTTTTTGGGACATTCCGAAAAGGAAAGATGACAAAGTTTTAAGGGACGGAGGGAGTAAGTTTTAATAAGTGCTCAATTACTTTTTATTTTTATACATGCAATATTGGTGTCATATGAAAGCTAATAAAAAATTATAAAATTTGATATATTTTTTGTGATAATCAAAATATAAATAAAAAAGATATAAGACTTTAAAATAATATGGGGTTTTATTTGTGTTTCAATGATCAAGTGAAAGTGACGTGAAATGGAGAAAAATGGTGAAGGCACGTGGCATTAGAATAGGAATGGAGAAAAAATAGAATTGAGGAACAAGTATGTTTATTTAAGAGTATGAATGTCTTTTAATGAGCTATTTATTTTCTTATATATAAATAGAAATCTTGTTTTAAAAGGAAACCCCTTTTGAAATTTAGCAAAACTCTTTGCTGGTTATAAATTTTAAGAGTAAGTCATGGAACTCAAAGGCAAGTTGTGAATATAAAATAGGATAATTCTCAAAATCCTCTCCTTAATAGCACTACAATTCCACACAAAAAATTCCCGCTCATCTAAACTTTTCATAACACCCTCGGATTCTCATAAACTAAATCAACGGATTCTACCTTTCACATTCATTTTGTTTCTCTTTCGATCCGTGCCTTCTACGGAGAAAATTCTCCCGCACTCCCCTTTATGTTTATAGTCGTAATTTCATGTGTTGCCATCCACCTTGCATCCGGACTAAAGAAGTTGATGTGGCGCCCCTGAATCCCTCACACGACCTCAGCTCTTGCCGTCGTACGGTTCCAGACTTCCAGGTGAAGCGAAGTTGTTATAGTCATGCCTCCACTGCCCTTGCATCTCGCTTAGACTTAGGAAATCCAGAAACTGGATCCTCAAAGGTCACGCAGTCCAAAGCTGTTCTTCCATTCGATTTCCAGCTAGAAATTTGTCAGCCCTCACGCCAGGAGTTCCATATTGGAGAAGTCTCTCTTGCCTTCGTTTCACTTCAGCGACACCATGGCCCTTAATCAACGACTCCAACAAAATAAGGTTTGGTTTCAATTAATCATTTTTAATCAACTATTTTTATGGTATAATTGAAATCTTATATAATCTCCAAGCGATGAAGTTGCTTCCCCTCCCGCACGATCCTTTGAATTTCTTTCGTCTACACCACGACTGTGGAATTATTTCGTCTTCATCGCTGCTCTTCTCTCACGGTAATTTCAGAGTGAACGAATTCCGCTACCTCTTTGTTTCCTTTTCCAATTTCTGATTCAGATTCCTTTTTTCATTCCTCCGCATAATAGTTTTTCTAGGAATTTTAACTGCCCTTAATTGAATCGTCCTCTTTATCACACAGCGTGCAAGGAATACGTGCCTGACACCAATTCGGAAAACAGAAATAAACGACCAAGCCCTACTTTTCAACAAGCAACCCATCCCTTCCAGGTTTGCATGCCGTCATAAAACTATTTGTTAGTGGAATTTATGATGTTCTTTTTCCATCTAGAAAACTTCAATATTTTATAAACTTTTGGGGTTATATTGTTTAACATACATACGTAGTATTATATATTCATTAGAGAAACTTCTCTCAATTTTTAGAAACTTCTGAAAATATTTTCAAGGGAAATTAAAACAATTCTACCCATTAGTGTGCAGCGTATTTTGTTGGTGTGAAATCCAAAATAGTTACTATCTTCAATCATACATTCTTCTTACCAATTTAGCAAATCTATTTAGTGGTTGTTTGTTAATTTGACTCAGAAATGAAGTCTATTTAATGAGGATCTAATCTCTATAATTTTGAATCGTTTCATTACAAATGTGATGTTATTATTAGGAAAAAAGTATTAGGAAAAATCTATAACCATTGTGTGATGTCACAATTTGGTGGGCATAGTCGTGCCTTGCCAACATAGGGAATTGGCCTGGGTACTATGATGTTGGAGCATTTTTGAAGTTGGCCAGATATATGTTCACATAATTTTGCACCCTCTTTGCTTGCTAATCTCATATTTTCTCATTACAAATTTGCTTCTATGAACCAAGAATATTGAGAAAGATTTTGTGAGCCTAAGTGATATGATCAAATGTATTGAGCACTTATTGAGTTTATCTGATTATAAGCTCTTCTGATTAGTTACATATATTTAACAATTCTCTAATGAACTTACTATATAAAATTATGCTGAGTGATGATGTATTTGTAACTTCTTTTAGTCATATGCAATAATAATAATAAAAAAGTAGCTCAGCTGAATTGAAGAGCTAAAAACCAGAAATTATATACAAACTGTGTGATACGCTCACCTCAGCCGGGCATGTGTGTTCCATACTTCTCTCTCAATATCTTAATTGGATACTAAAAAAAGTATATGTTAGGGGTTCATAATTCTAATTTTAGAGCTTTTATTCAAGTATCTTGATTTCCATCCTCTTAACTTCATTAAAATTGGTATCCATATAACTTATGAATTTTTTCATTTCTAATTAGTTGAAGGCATTTTTAGTTGAACACCCATTTTGTTTAGAGTTGAGAACCACAAGGTCCACAACTATGCCACTTAACTCCCATAATGGCTATTATCCCTCTTATTATTTTTCTACTAATCTTTTGGTTATTCGATAAGTTTTGTTATTAAGTTTTGGTTTAAAACCAAATTTTAATGTAGCATTCTTATCCTCTATCACTATATTCCCTGAAAACGGGTGAATTGTTGGATTGAAAGACATTTCCTAAAAAAGGCACACCTAAGTAATTTTACATATGAGCTATATAATATATTTTCTCCCTTATAAAAGAATCAGAGATGTAGTCATTAAAATGGTGTATCCACTGCATTTTCTTTGACCCATTTGCCAGCCATCTTCCTATGTCCCTAATTCCTGTAGGCCCGCCTACGATTGATTGGAGATTTATTCAGTAGGTCCTCCTCCTCTATAGATTGGAATGTGTGTTGCTTGCCACTACGCCAGGCCAAGGAAGGGATCGAACCGTTATATACGAACTATTAAACATTCTATTGATTTTTCATCTCTTACCTTAATAGCACCTATAACATACACTTTATAATTTATATAAATATAATCTTCTGATAGGGATGACTCAAAAACTAATAACTATAGAGTGTAGAAAATGAATGAAGGCCGAGTCATATGAATGGTGTAGGGTGATAATAATTACGTCTATATAGCGAGCATAAGATTTTGAAAGGTCCACTTTTCCTTAAGATTGAGTTGTTACTTCTTTTGACATGCCAAAGACAAATGAAGTTGAAATAATGTTTTCACATTCTACAAAAGGGTGCGTTTGGTTGGTTAAAGCCTGCAGAAGACGTGCCACAATGTCAAAGTGGAATATAAACAGCCGTGATGAACTTGATGATTTTAAAACTACACTCTATTTATGCTGATGCACCATCTTTCCTTCTTAATGCTTCGATTATCATCATATACCGGGTGTTCTTTTGTTTATAGAAGGTATTGCGATAAGTTTGTTTTTATTATTATTAGAATATTACACTATGAGCAGCCCCCAAATGAAATTAAGCTATTTACATTTTGTTCTATTTTATTGCTATATACAAAATTTTATGTGCATGTTATCATTAAGGTATATAATTTAGAATTGTTCTAAAATGTATGAGTTAGTGTCATTTTAGAGGCTGTAAATATCATCCTTTATACATTTATAGTTAAAGGTGTGAGTAAGGCTATTCACATTTTTGGACTATAGAAACCCCTGCTCAATATGAGCCACCACTCTTATTATTTAGGATATTACTCTTGAGTGTCTTAAATGTTTATGGAAGGAATCACATCCACACTTAAACAGGATTAGTTGGAAGAGGAAATGAAATACTTTGATGATTTTACAGCTAATTCGCTATTATATCATTTGTTTAGTATATCTGGGGATGCAAGTGAGCCGTTCTTGTGCGTTTCGACACTTCTTCTTCTCAGCCGTTCGAAAAGATTTCTCACCTTGAACAATTTCATAAAAGTCAGGATAAATTCAGATCGTCGAGATTGTCGCCCTACACCACGAGTCAAGTTATATTCATATCTTTGCTTCATTCAATTTAGATATTTGATTCATTCAATTTAGATATTTGATTCAATGTGGGGAATTACAGAAACATTTATATTTCTGCTCCTATTTTTTCAAATGCTCCCATAATTCCGATTCAGTCTTCCGGTTCCGTCGCGATCCAAGTTTGTTTTATAACACAATAATGGTATACGCTATCGTTCAATCAAACGTGTTCGCTTTCTTTTAGAGTAAGTGTGACTGTTTTGCGCTGTATTATGAAATTGTTTTCTAATTTTCATTATGTTCAATAGCTCAAATTATGGTTAATTGAGAAAACTATTTCATGTTGTTATATGGAGCGAAACTATTTGATGTTGTTATATGGAGCGAAACTTATATTTTATAGTATAGGTACTCTCTAATTCTGCATATGTAATGTTTGATACCATGCTTAGGCAAAATGCAATTATATAAAGCTGAATTCCAGAAGTTTCTGTTGGATGATGCTATCATCCAGATCTGTATAAGCTATGTTAAAAAATAAAAAGTGAAGGAGTAGTAAGTAGTAACTGTGAATCTTTTGCCCATCTATCTATTTTTGTTCATTTTGGGAAGGGCTGAAAGACAAACATAGTTGTGAGGTTTTGTATAAACTCGCTGCTGAAGTGTTGTTTATGAAATTGTTATCTATTTTGTTATAAACTCACTGGAATGTTCTTAGAAAACTATCAAAAGAACAAATCAAAATTATGTGTGCAGCTATTTTAGTAGGTTTGCATAATTCAATATCAATATAAAATGAATATTGGTTGAATCCCCTCTGTCAAAGTCTAGAGCTTTACAGATTACAGAAGATATTACGTAGTATATATTAAGCCAAAGTGAAATCCAGATTTTGAAAGAAGTTTTTTTTTGTTAACAATAACATAAGGTTTTGCATCCCTTCTTTTTACAGGAAGAAAATGAAATGTATCTTTAAAACTGGCCTACTATAATTTTCAAAGGTACGTGTTCCTAGAGCAATGACTATGATTAATTATTCATTACATATGAGTAATTATATTGTTGATTTGCTCGATTACATTTGGTTTCCTAAAAAATTGAAGTCCTGGAACCAAAAGAACTTAATAGGGGTACTTCTTTGAACTCTTTAGGTAATTCATAATATAAGTACAGATGTTCTAATATTCTTTTGGAGATACCTCAGATACCGAAAGAAAGATACATCTTTTGAATAAAATGATTTCTGACTTTGGAACTAACTTAAATGCTTGAACCCTTCTATTGTATTATTTGTATGTTTATCACCCTGGTCGTTGTTTCCTACCCTAATTGAATTCTGAGAGATTATTCATTTTTTTCTGTAGGCAGCAAATTAATGTACCCCAGTTCTTGAGCTTGATCACAAACACACCAGAGCTTTGGTGTTATGTGCTCAAACCAAAGTCACTCTCAATGAGTATCACCCAACACTTTTTATGTTAGTAGGTTCATAGATTTGAATCCATCATCAGAAGTATATCATAACATTCATGCTCGCTTAAAGACACAGCTGGTAATCTTCAAAAACTGAATTTATCAAAAGTTCTGTGTGTTTCATTAGTAGTTTTGAATGGTTTTTGTATCTGCCCATTTGATTTTAATATGAAAAGGGATTGCCTGGCTTGCCACCGTGTTCATCCTTCCTTAGACTCTTGCTTCAGTAAGTTGATGGTTGTTATGTTATTTTAAAAGGCTTTCTTATTTGTTTTTATTTGTGAATTTAATTTCTATTTTTTCCCGAATATTTTTTATATTCTAAAAGCTTGGAATTAAAGTGTTACTGCCCTTATTTTTTATTTGAATCAATAAGCTCTTGAGTAATATGTATTAATAGCATAAATAAAGAAAATTAGTTCTATCTCTCAAACATATATAATGTCACTTTTTAAAAGATAGCAATTCCTTTTGCAAATAATGTTTCTCACCAGTCCCGTTACGGTCTCCTTAAGTTTCATATATTCATTTCTTATATGAAACATTAGAACTTTCTATTTTTCCTTGATTTTGGGATGTCAAATAAGGCTTTTTCTTATATTCATTTCAACTACCTGAAGTTTCATCTGACAAATATCACTACATAGTATGTATACATAATCATTCTATTTTTTCTTGATTTTGGGATGTCAATCGGGACCTTAAAACATGTTTAACTCCTAACTTTTGTCTAATGAATGATAATATCATATATTCCGAATACGTTAATGTCAAAAGGTAATGTGAAAAGATTGAAACGGAGAATGACACTATTGTGAAACAATCTGTTTATGTTATTACTTTTCAATCTAATAAAAAGTTTATTTGAATCCCCCACCCCATGAAATACAGGGGCATAATGAAATGGTCATTGAAGGTTGGAGGAACAATAATGTGACCAAGTATTAAAAAGTAGGAAATGTATCGGGATTTAAGGGTCTTATCATTGATTAAGAAAGATCACCTTTTCCCTTGCAAGAAGTTATTGTAGAGAAGTTTTTTTTGTTTTACTAGAAACAATTGAACAATTGGAACTCACAAGTCACACTTATTGGATCTGTAATTGAAGTCTCTTTATTTTGTTGACATTTCATAGCAAATACTCTACATGGATAGATGTTGACATTTCTTAAACAATGTGGATTTTCTAGAGTATAATTATTAATTATTAGTCATGCTTTTAATGTCTTCACACCCAAAACATAATCGGAGTAGTATTTAATGGATTTTTAGTTGGCTTGGCATTTGCTTTGTACAACGGAGTACATGGACAGATGTAAGGTACGAGAATAGGAGTAATAGTAAGAATGTGTCTCGCTTCGGACTTCGGTGTACAATGTACTTTCAGAAACACCCAACACTACTAAAAATGGATAATTAGTACTTCCTCTGTTCCACTAACAATGAGACAAATGTGCTCTTCCTTTAGTTAATATTTTTTATTAATTCCTAAAATTTTGATTTAGTTAATATTTTTTATTACCTAAAATTTCACAGGTTTCTATTTAGTTAATATTTTTTATTAATTCCATTGCTAATTTTGATTATTTTTTCTTTACAAAAGTTTCTTAGTTAGATAAGTTGAATAATATTTAAAAATTTAGAAGTAAAAAATAATAAAATTTACGACAACTTAGGTCCTATACCGACACATTATCTTTCAAGTCTCAGATTGATAATTCATATATCATTCAGGCCCCGGACTAATAAAAATTAATGGAAATAATATGATTTTTAATCTATTTATATTTTAATATTTATAATATCTGCATATTACATCCCGTGCACTGCACGGGTGAAATACTAGTATAGAAGTAATAACAATTTAAAATCCCCCCCCCCCCCCCCCCCCCCCCCACCACATAGGATTGACTTACTGTTACGTTAAAATTTTACTGTCATATTTTGATATTGCTAGGATTTAAGTATGGCGGTATACTATCTAACTGGCAGTAATTTTGAAGCATAAAAGTAATTGCTCTTATTTAGATAATAAAAACATAATGCTCTTATTCTAAAATTGCAAATATTTTTACTCCTATTTAGGGAAATTTCTTCTAGAATTGTTGTATGCCTAACTTGACTATTCTACAATACAATTAATTTAATACCTGATTTAGGTTGTTTTTACTTGGACTGTAATTCATCCCAGACCAGACTAAAACAGACCAGACCAGACCATATTTTATTATTATTATTATTATTATTATTATTATTATTATTATTATTAGGGGTGTGCACTGGTTCAAAACCGGACCGGACCGGACCGGACCGAACCGGATATCATTCCGGTTCGATCCGGTTCCGGTTTTTCCGGTCCGGTTCGGTCCGGTTTTCCGGTTTGAACCGGATAGTGCACGCCCCTAATTATTATTATAATTATTATTATTATTACTACTACTATTATTACTATTATTGTTGTTGTTGTTGTTGTTGTTATTATTATTATTATTATTATTATTATTATTATTCCGGTTCGATATGGTCTGTTTTGTTTTGGTCTGCTTCGGTCTGGAATTGAAATCAGACCAAGTAAAACGATAACAATTTTTGATAATTTGGAAGGAATATTATTATTTTTAATTATAAATGAATAAAATATAATTATTTATGGATTATAAAATATATATAAAAAATAAAATCTTTATGCAAAAAATATATTAAATAAATATTCAAACCAGACCAAAACAGAACTGACCAGCAAATTACAGTCCAAGTAAAAACATCCTTATAGAGATAATGCAAAGATAATAACGAGATACTACCTCTGTCTTGTTCAATGTGTCCTATCACATTGAATGAGAATAACCGAAATGTGAATAACCGAAACCGAACCAATTTTTTAGTTTCTTAAATTATACTAACCTAAACTGAACCAAACTTGGTCAGGACCCAATTATTCGGAAACCGAATTTTCGAGTAGGTTTTGTGAGAAAAACGAATTAATGATATGGCATAACCGAAAATTAAATATATACCTCATATTTTTTGACTGTAGGGTAGCCAATAATCAGCCTTAGGCTTTACTAGCCAACTACTCAACTAAGAAGCAAAGGGGCATTTATATAACGATTTTGAGGAGTGAATCCTCAATGGTATCCGGTGTGGGAATAAAGTAAGTGACGAAGTAAAATTGAAAACATATATAAAGAAGTTCGAACGGAAGTAAAAGTGAATTACGGGTACTATGCAGCTGAGGGTACACATTGAACTCAGGGATTCGAACTCAGCTGAGGGTATAAAGTAAGCTTTAACTAATAGTATATGTTACATACGGTTACTAATTAAATAAAATATTTAAATAATTACTCCGTATTATTTAAAACACTTCTTAAAGCTTATTATTTTGGGAAATAACTAATAGTGCAAACACTTCTTAAGCTACATGAAACTCTTATTGGAACGACTAAGATAGAATAACGTATCTAAAAATATATAATTATATTTTTCATACTAGGTTTGAGAGTTTCATCATAAAAGTTCAAGAAGTTGTATATTAGTTTGTGTTTTTATATATGATTGTGTGAGATGACTGCATAGGCCCCACAAAATGTTGACTTTTAGTAATGTACTACCTCCGTCCCGGAATTATCTACTTATTTGACTGGGCACGAGTTTTAAGATAGTGGGAAATGTGTAATGGAGAGTTGTGCAAAGGAAAGAGAAATGTGTAAGAATGTTTAAGAATGGTTGTGAACCACGGAGGGAGTATCAATTTTGAAACTGCTTGCACGTTATTGAGTACTATTTCGATTAAGCCGCTTGTTTGAGGATAACAAGACTGCATACCATAAAAACGTTTGATAACAAGACTGCATACCATAAAAACGTTTTTCCATTCCTTGCTAAAAATGGAAATAGATGTTTTGTAATTCCCTTTTCAATTTTCACAAGTACAGTACCCGTGCATACGCACGGCAAATAATCGATGGATATACTTGTATTCATGATCTAATTAATTATAAAAGGAAACTAATTTTAAAAAATTGGCATAGTTCTTAAAAGCGAGTTCAATAAGTCAATATCATAAAGTTTAGTTAAGTTAATAAAATAAATATTAAAAGTAAAATATTAAACTTACATGTTAGAGATTTTGGAAAACCTCTTTGAATACAACATTCGTAGTAGTGTCTAATGATTTTTCATCCTTATCATGTATGCCACATACAATTGTCCATACAATTGTTTGCTTTGAACTTTTGATATAATGCCACACACAATTGTCCATGACTAAAAACAGGTCTAGGGAAGTATAATTCAACTCTTTCCAGTGACCGTAAATAAGAAATACGTACTTGCTCCCTTCAATAAAGAGAAGTCCCATATGTAGAAAAGTGTGAGGACAACTTTCAATGAGGCAAGGTTTACAGTGCACGGGGGCGGAGCCAGTGCACAGTATTGGTCACTTGGAGTATATGACGGCTGCTAGGTTTCATGAGGCTAATACTTCGAGTATAGGCAAAGTCTAATTGACGTTCAATTGAGTTCCAATTGTTTCCTATTATGGCTCCAACTCTATTTAATGGGTTAGCTCATTTTTATTGACTACTTTTAATATTCCAGCATCCTCACTTTTCATTTGATTCTTTATTTTTTTAAGAATTATACGTGTTTGGGCGGTGTGCAATTGTTACGTTTTTGAAATTGTATGTTCAATTTTTTAATTTAATTCTTTATGTTTTTAAAATTATGTTCAATGTGTTGTTTACAACACCAACATGTTTATAAAAGTGTTAAGTTTGTATTTTTAGAGCCCGTTTGGTAATACTAAAATTGGTTGAATTGGCTGATTCTGCTGAAATTTATGAAGTTCTGATTGAAATGGCTGGTTTTGGTTGATTCTGCTAATTTATAAAGTAATTATATTTAAAATATTTGTTTTTATAAATAAAATAAAAAATTATATGAAAAAGTAGCTAAAATGATATTCTACGGTAACTTCAGCAAATACAGCCATAAAAGTTACTCCTAATAAGCCAAAAAAAGAGGAAAGCACTTAATTTAACTATGTATTTGGTGAAAAAACTGGTTGATAAGCCTGATAAGCTAAAAAAGAGGCTACCAAACAGGCTCTTAATTTAACTTCGTCCCTTAAAACATTGCCGTGTTTGACCGCATGAAGAGTAATATCGTAAAAAACCTTTGTTTAAGATTCGTGTAAAGGAAAGAAAAATGATATAAATCACAAATTGATTGATTAAAGGGGAAAATAATTTAAATGTACTTCGTATGAAACTTTGAAGGAGTGTATGTTAAGTATCACAAATTGATTGATCATACAGTTTTCTCAAATGTAATTTTGTGGTATTAAGTACATACTTCAATTACACCTATTATTTATTAGGATGCAATTAAAATCAAATTGTAGTGGACGTAATATTATTTATTTCACAAATAAAATTTTAAAATGTTAAATGCATTCTAACAAACCTTAAATTTTTATATAATATGTATTTTTTCAATAAAATTGTATTTGTAAAAAACATACTATCATAGTGCAAAAATATCTTTATATACTAAGTATTAAAGTTTATAATAAGTTTAAGAAGTAAGCTTCAAATAAGACATAACTAAGTATAAAATAAGAAAATTTAAATAAATCTAAAACAATATTAAAATAAACATGTCTATAAAATTATATTGCCTCCGTCCCAAAAAGGTTCGCCATAATGAAGGAATAATGCTTCATTTGGAGGAATAAATATATTTAAGCCAAAAATATAGGAGCATTAGACTCAAAAATGAGCATTATGCAACCATTTTAAGTTAGAATATATTTCATCTTCTCAATGTTTTTTGTTTTTCTTCTTATCAATCTGTAATGCAATTGGATATATAAAACCCTCTCGGAAAAAAAGGAGAATCAAAGTTAGTTTAATTGGATACAAATAACAAAAAGTGTGGCGTCGTTCTTTACGGCGACAGTTATTTGTAGATTTTCAAAGTTGAACTTCAGTCTAGAAAATGCATGTTGTTCGGAAGTAGACGTGGAGACGAAAATAGCACGCATGATAAAAGTAAAATTAATAAGTGAAGATTCTAATAATGGTAAAGGTCAAAATCGTATTTTTCTATTAGTTAATTTTCATTCATACATTTTTCAATAGTTCATGTTAAAAATTTGAACCATTCCACGATTAATATTTGTTTGTTTTTATAAATAGCTATATGAAAATTT